TATACAGTAGGTAGATGTTAAGCTAAAAAGGCTTTTGAAGTAGTCACCGGGGTGTCCGGTGCCTTGTTCAAGGGCACCACGACAGGGCCCAGGAGGTGAACTGGGACCTCTCCAAGTACCAGTCCACACTCCATATTTTATGTCTGGTCGGGGACTTGAACCGGCAACCCTACAGCTCCCAGTCCAAGCACCTACTGACTGAGCCACTGCCTGTGACGAAGGTAACTTCGTCACTGTGGACTGACGGCTTCGGGCCTGGTAACTCAGCACTTTAGTGAACAGTTTGCACTTTATTAGCGTGATTGCACAGTACAGTTTGGCATTACATATTTGCACATTTTACATAATTTATACTAATTATTGAGGTAGTATTTATTAACTGATTGGACCGTGTTGATTGGAATGTCGTCTGGTCGGTGCTGGTCGGGCCCTCGGCTCCGCCTGAGAAGATGGGGGAGTTGGCAAGAGCGCAGAGAGTATTTGTGCTGGGGTAGAAATTACAGCGGTTGAGAATAATCAGGGTGCAAATAATATGTTGAGGGTGTATGGGTCATGACGTTGGGTTGCATTGATTGTACGAGTTGCCACTGTGTGGAGTTGACATGTCACCCCCCCATGTCTGTTGCTGCTGATTGTGTGCACCTGGTGCCCTGTGTTGTCTCCTCCCCCCTCACCTGTGTCTAATTGCTCCCCCCTCACCTGTGTCTAATTGCTCCCCCCTCACCTGTGTCTAATTGCTCCCCCCTCACCTGTGTCTAATTGCTCCACCCTCACCTGTGTCTTGTTGATTAATTAGTGTGTGTGTATTTAGGCTCTGTGTTTCCTGTTTGTAATGTGGTGTGAGATCCTTGTGGCTGGTGACTGTGCACACGGGAACAGCAAGATTGAGGCTGTGTCTCACACTGCCGGACAGTTAAATAATGTAATGTGTTTTCATATGCTTGCAAGAGGCGTGGGTTATGTACTACTACTCGTCTTGTTTATGTGGATTAGATCCTTTGCTCAGACATGACTGCCATTAAAGCACTGTACCTGTAGGAACTTGCATTCTGACAGTAAGCTGGAAGCAACCCGTGCCCCTCCCTCTAAGTCTGACTGGCCTAAGATTGGTTCACATGTTTTAAAATCTGTCTTTAAACAATACTCACGTATCCATATTTCAGACAGCGGAGGCCTCATATTATCCTCAGATTAACTTTAGAATGCATATCCTAATGACTAGTATCGACAGGAGGAATGACTGCAGCAAGCCAAACCAGTTTTTGGACACCTAAATGACAGACAAAAGAAAATAAATCCTTTAAGCCAATACTTAACCCAGATGGAAATCCTCCAGCCAGGCCGGGTCCTGACAGCAGAACCCAACCCACACACACAACACACACACACACACACACACACACACACACACACACACACACACACACCACACACACACACACAACACACACCACACACACACACACACACACACACACACACACACACACACAGAGCTGTGTTGGCCCTGTGCCTAAATCGCTAAACAGGACTCAACGGATCAATAACCAGTATCTTAATATAAACAGAGGAGGGAAGTAACTAAGTACATCTACTCAAGTACTGTACTAAAGTATAATTTTGAGATACTTGTACTTTACTTGAGTATTTTCCATTGTATGCTACTCTACTCCACTACAATTCAGAGGTAAATGGTGTACTTTGACTCCACTACATGTATTTAATACTTTTAGTTACTTTACAGATTCGATGAATGATGTGAAATCTAATCAAGTGTTAAATCAGACTTTAGTTCCACCTGGAGTAAATTCACAAGCTACCCTGCAGTATACAAAGTCATTCAAACTAGCTGCACCTTTACCAGCTTTGAGAACACTTTCATGATCAATCATTATAAAACATATCATATATATTATTCTGAAATGGACCAATCTGCACAATGACTACTTTTACTGTCGCTACTTTAACTATATTTAGATGATAATACTTTTCTACTTTTACTTGAGTAACATTTTGAATGCAGGACTTTTACTGAAACAGAGTATTCCTACACTCTGGTACTTCTACTTTTACTCAAGTACAATATCTGAATACTTCTTCCACCTCCGAATATAAATATTGATTGCAAAGAGTATGACTAAAAAGGATCAGTTGCAATGACAAAGACAGACTTTTCAGATTTTTCAGCCGCTTTAAGCAAACTCTGCTCTCATAAACGTTGTTTTCACTCGCTCTTTTTGAAGAAACAGCCCAGCTGACAGACAGAGAGAGAGTAGCTGGGAACACAGTGGAACATTTAGCAGCTGAAGAGACAGAGACTTCTCAGAGACCCAAACCAGCCAAACTGTGCCCTCCTGGAAGAGTGACAACACAACTTTACTGGGCAAACACTCTGAGTGCACAGGATGAAAGGTCTGGATATGGTATTTATCAATTATTTAAATTCGCTTATCAACTGTAAACTTAAAGCGACAGTGGAGGCCTCGATCATTCAACATAAACACAATGAGAGATGTATTTGATTTATCAGCTGTCAGTGGAAATGATGCTTCACTAAGCACAGCAGAGAAAAGATTTTTCATGGAAGCCGGCGAGAGTGATCAAAAATATTCCAAAAAGGTGGTTTTCACTTTACGAGAAAAGATAGTACTAGTATCTATAATATAGAGGTGTAAATGAATTAACATGAAATATAGAGTGAAACCATGTTTATTATTGATAAAGGCTAGAACATAAAACTAATGTGTTAGTGACCTGTACTGTTAGAGGTATAATAAACGGTGTTTTCTGCCATCTGAATGGCCAATAACATCTAATGTCTCCATGTTCCTTTTAATAAACAATGTTACATCTGTACGCTAAATGTTATATTTTCCTTTATGTGAACACATGAATCACATCAATAATTATGCATGCATTACTGAACATGGGATTTTTGTTGTTCTTTTTTTGAAATTCTTTATTTATTTGGGGTTACATTATATTAAAAGTGAAGTTTTGCAAATCATATATTTTTAGAGAAATGACAAATTAAATACAGAACCAAATTAGTCAAATGAAATAAGCAATAAAATGTTTAAAAGAAGTTCCCTGGTTTTTTCCTCTGGGGATACGCTTCTGTTGTTGCAGTTTGTACAGTGCTTAAACTAATGACAGAGACTTCAGCACATGCTTGATCCACAGATGTATAGATGTGCTCACTCAGACTGAACATCCAGAGCCTCTGTTCCCTACATGTGACTCCTGTCTGCTTCCTGCATGCTGGGAGGGATCAGTGCAGCCTGGATGGCAGCCTCTAGATGTAAAAGCTATCACATTATTTCATAGTGAAGTCATTTTGAAGCTGCAGCCAGAAGAGCTTGAGAAAACACTGAATGGAGTTACAGAGAGCAGAGATTTCCTAAGCAGGAATGCAGAAGTTATAAACATCTCAAATGAATTCTCCTTCATTGAACTATAACAGGGAAACTGCTCAAGTGTAGGCACAAAAAGGGGACGTCTTTCCTATATTTAAATGTGTGTCAAATAGGTGCAGAATCATCCAATGTCATTCAGTTAACCTACAAAAACAATGCAAAGCACAGCTGGAGCACTAATTAGTTAATGTGCATGTGTTGTTGGTATGGTGAAATCAATGCTTTATTCTACCTTCTGTCGTCTATCTACACACCCTGCGTGTAATATGGAAGTGGATGTATTAATGCTCCACTGTCTGCTTGAACTAGGCTCTTTAACTTTAGGGTCCCACTATTGTAAGAAATGTTTAAATTCTGGAAACAGCTTTTCTTTGTGGTGAATGTACAGTATGAGTAATTTATTACACAAAAGCTTAATGTGGTCATTGTATTGACCCTGTGTGTTTTTTTTACAATAAATAGTTACAAATATAGCAATTCATATGTAATTTGACGATATTCGTTTTTTCATTAAGAATAAACCATTAATTATGGACAATTTAAATGTCTGTACACTCCTTTTATGAATGGTTAGACAATTTAAAATATAATAATGGAATGTGGAGAATTATACATCTTTTCAGCAGTACTGTTAGTGAATTGGAGAATGGATTTGATTGTTAATAGTATAATAAAAGGGTATATTTGACATGTAAACAACAATAAAGCCACTGCTCACTTTGTTAATGTTCAATGTAGTAAGCATTCATTGTTACTGTGTTGTAACTGAGTGAGTTTCTGTGATTTCAGCTTTTGTTCCAAATCAACTGCTGTTTACATGGAAATACATATTTAAATCTATCAGTTTAAGGTAATGGAGCTTCTTAGGATATTTGAGGCTGATCCAGAGAAACACAGATGTGAACTTCCTGTTCTTATCAGAGGCATCAATCTAACAGTGAGCTGAAGACCTTCTCTTTTAATAAAGCCCATAGTTAGGGCTGGTTTCACATTATTCCTTATGTTTGTTCTCCTGGGTCCTACATTTGATGGTATCTTATTTAATTTTATTGTTTTTATTTTATTTGTATTGTCTTTTGTTGTATTTAATTCATTGTATTTTTATTTTACAATCTATCTTGTATTTTCCTGTAATTGTATTTATCTTTTAGCACTGTCATTCATGTTTATTAATCTGTCAAACCCACTGAGGGTAACTGTGATATTGGGCTATATAAATACACTTTCATTTGATGTGACACATACTACTTGCTTTAATTAAAATACATTGAGAGGCAATAGTCTACCTAACAACACATTTTAATTTCGAGTTCACACCATTGGTTGAAATGTGAAAGCAGCAGCAGTGATGTGAACGGAGCCTCCAGTCTGGTTTTATAGTTTGGGTTGATCGTGCCTTTTGCGTCGTGACTATAGGATACTTATGTATCTTTACATGACCAATCTGTCTCCCCGTCTTAACACACTTTGATGGGGAAATAGTCATTTAAACTGCACTAGTACTTATGTTACCATATTCCATTATGGTCAGACGCATCATAGTCTGAGAGAGCCTAGATTAAAATATAATCCAGAGTATCCTACCTTTGGGTTACATGGCCATGTATTTCGAAGACTCCCAATTCCAGGTCAAACCATTAAAATATTCCATGTTTTCAGGTGTTTAAAAAATAGATACCGAGGTTATCTGGTCCTTCTAAAACTACACATTCACTTTATATAAAAGCGATTTAACGGTAAATCCGTGCAAAATAAAGTAGCGTAACGCTGGGTTTAGCCTGAAAAAAAGTGGCTCCAGAATTCCAAACTCCACTCATCAGATATCCACTGCATGAAAACCCATCCAGGAATGCAGAAAAGAGTTGGATTACAGTCATTAATGTGCTGCGTTTGCCTTTCTGCTCAGGTATGGGTGATGTGTTCAGGGACCTGATGAGCTCTCTCTCGGCGGAGGGCGGAGTCAGCATTCTGTCGAGACGGCTGTTTTCCCTGAGCTCCGCCTGCCAGGCTGCACTTCCGCCCGGCCTGCCCAGCTGCTTGGACCGTGCTCTGTAGGATATATACCGCGGTGGGATGGGAAAAAGTATATGTACTCAACAGAGGGGGAGAAGTACTCACATCTTGTATTAAATTAAAAGATGAAATGCCAAAGTGCAGGAATACTCTGTAACAAGTAAAGACCTGAATTCAGAATGTTACTCAAGTAAAGGCACAAAAGTATTATCATCAACATATACTTAACGTACCATGGTAAAAGTAGTCATTGTGCAGATTGGTCCATTTCAGAATAATATATATGATATGTTTTATAATTATTGATCATTAAAGTGTTCTCAAAGCTGGTAAAGGTGCAGCTAGTTTGAATGACTTTGTATACTGCAGGGTAGCTTGTGAATTTACTCCAGGTGGAACTAAAGTCTGATTTAAGACTTGATTATATTTCACATCATTAATCAAAATCTGTGAAGTAACTAAATGGATTAAATAAATGTAGTGGAGTACAAATATAATATTTGTCCCTGAAATGTAGTGGAGTAGAAGTACAAAGTAGTATGCAATGGAAATGAATACTCAAGTAAAGTACAGGTAGGCCTACCTACAAATTGCACTTAAGTACAGTACTTGAGTAAATGTACTTAGTTACTTAACATCACTGGTACTCAAGTATTGAAACTAAGCACTATTTTGACATACTTGTACTTCACTTTGGTATTCTTCATTTTATGCTATGTTGAACTTTTTACTCCCCCCATTACATAACACTCATAAATCATAACCTACTGGCTACTTTGTTCATGTACGTTAGTCTACTTATTTTTTACAACGTATTCTAAAAAGTAACAATAAATATCTCAACCTTGACAAACTACAACATTAAAATGAAACAACATGTAAAAAGATAAAACCATGATATTATTCTATTCTTGGAAAAGGGAGAGATTACTTTTGATATTTGAAGTACATTTTGCTGATAGAACTTCTGTACGTTTACTTAAGTAACATTTTCAATTCAGATCTTTTACTTGTAGGAGTATATTCAGATTTTTAAATAGTATTTTTGCTATTTCTACAGTTTTTTAGTATTCATTTTACTTTTACACAAGTAAGGATCTGAGTACTTCTTCCAATACTTGCAGTATGTACAACCCGTATGTGTAAATTGAACATCCCAACCCATGTGTTGTTCACCATAGCAGCAGGACAGTGGACAGAGGTCACATCATGTCACAAGGGCTCTGCAGTACTGGCAAAGATTCCTCAGCATCTTTGCTATGAATTACAAATAGGAATTTAAATTGAAAAGTGTATGTCAAATTCAATGTTGACATTTTGAGAGTTTAATGCTTCTATATTCACAGCCTCATAAGTTACATTTTTAGTTAGCAAAATCAATCAAATGTATAGGTAAATGATGCTTGATAGTTGAATATGCTTTAAGAAAAAAAAAGCCTCCATCCCAGCTCTCCAGAGGGTTTCATTTATTTTGTTACAGAAAGTGTTGCAGCTCATTCCTTAAAACAGATGCCTCAGATTGCTTATAATAAGGGGAAATAGGAAGAGTATATTTCAAGCTGGTTATGTATACGTTATTGGGCTTTTTTTATCAACTAAGATTTGTTAGAAAATGTTCTCAACTTTAATGACTGAATTGATTTGAAAAGTGGGCTTATTAACACAAGAATACTGTGTGATATATTTTTACATATGTATTTAAGAAGTACAATATAAGACAAGCACTAGTTTCATGTGTGGTCCATATTCCATCGTATTTTTTGAATTTGCTACGGGCCAATAAAAAAAGGACCCCGGGCCTCAGTTTTGTTGACGCTGTGTATTTTTACAGTTCGAAACTGGTTAATGCATTTATATCAGAATGCAATTTTTTTATTTTTTTTAGCCTGGACAACTTAAATGTCTGTACACTTATTGCATGAAGGGTGCGGTAGAAAATATAATAATGAAATGTTGAGAATTAAACATATTTTCATTTTTGTCTCTAAAGAAGTTCCACTGGGAACACTGTGTTCTCACTGTTCTGGGGCTACTCCTTTAGCCCAAGGATGTCAAAACAGGGGGAGGACGGCTTGAAGCCACAGAGTCTTGAAATAGGCTTAGGACCAAGTTAAGCATATGGCATTGCCCATAGGTCTTGTAGTAATGAGGCTTAGCGTAAATTAAATCAGGAAGACTACCTTTACGTTCATTCATTCTCATTTCTCCCTCACTCCTATGTTATAGTTAAACAAGATGTTACCTCCAACAGCCAATCACTGTGCTGATGTCAAACTTTCAATCTGACCTCCATCCACCTCCTGTCATCACATATAGCGCATTGGTCCAGCTCTAGAAGTCCTCTCCTCACCAAATGCAGATCTCCAGCATCCTCTTTATCCCATCAATGTCCCCAGCAGTGTGTAGACCCTGGGGGGGAGCTGCATCATGATATCATGATGGGGCCTATTCACCAAAAGAACAGAGGTGGAAGAAGTACTATCTTTTACTTGAGTAAAAGTAGAAATACCACAGAGTTCAAATACTTTGGTAGTAAAAGTCTTGCATATAAAATCTTACTTGAGTAGAAATACAGAAGTATTGGCATCAAGTTATACTTAAAGTGCCAAAAGTAAAATAACGTATAGTGCGTAATGTGCCATTTTAGAATCATATATGTATATTAATTTACTGGATTATTATCAGTCACGTGTTCATGCTGGTAAAGGTGGAGTTTATTTAATTACTTAGTAATTCACCTTTAATTATATATCATAGTTTATGTATTAGTTTGTTTATATTATGTATTAGCTAATACTATAATTATGTAGTGGAGTAAAAAGAACAATGTTGGCTTTCAAAATGTAGTGGAGTACAAGTACAAGTACCACAAAATCGTACTTAAGTACAGTACTTGAGTGAATGTCTACATTACACCACTGCCAAAAGCAATTCACATTTATATGATATTGTGCAAAAATCTCTCTATATTTGAATCACAGTTTGCCATGAGTAAGCTTGTTTTCTAAGATTCTTCTTAAAGGTCCCATGTCATGGCCATTTCTACTGATCATAATTCCATTGTTGAGGTCTACTAGAATAGATTTAAATTGTGCAATTTTCCAAACTCACATTGGTTTCTCATACAGCATCTCTGTATAGTATGTGTATTCACTCTCTGTCCTAAACGGCTTGTTGGAGCTCCCCCCCCTCCCTATGAGCCCAGTGTGCTCTGATTGGTCAGCTCGCCCACTCTGTTCTGATGAGTCCACTACCGTTACAGCGGAACATCAGTGATTATGTGTTACAATGGCGTTAGCAACCAAAAAATGACACCAGTAATGACAAACAGATGAGAATGCTGCGTGGGGTCTGGGTGCCGTGTTGGCGGGACGTTGCGGGGCTCGCTGCTGGAGCGGACAGTGTGAGCTGGCTTGCTGCGGGGGATCTGCGAGACAACAAGACACAGCTAAACCCAGCCTGAACCCAGCCCGAGCACACACACACACCTGCAGCCTGGCTGTGAGTCTGCGTGTGTGCTCAGCCCCGCCGTCTCTCGCCGTCTCAGGCTGAGTTCAGGCTGAGAAATCCGCGGAGCTGCAGCTGAGTGTGATTGAGTGTGTGTGTGTGTGTGTGTGTGTGTGTGTGTGTGTGTGTGTGTGTGTGTGTGTGTGTGTGTGTGTGTGTGTGTGTGTGTGTGTGTGTGTGTGTGTGTGTGTGTGTGTGTGTGTGTGTGTGTGTGTGTGTGTGTGTGTGTATGTGTGTGTGAGTGAGGAAGTCCGCGGATTGGTATGTTACATCACTATACCCAATACGTCACTGTACTTACTACATTATGAGAAGCAAACAATGGAAAAAGAGAAATGTCCAACGAGGCGTTCTGGGGCAGCATAGACAGGTCTTTTCTGTGTTAGAGTTTTACTCGCTACAGGGTGTACTTTGAGGGTTTGTGACTCTGCAGACCGTTTACATGCAGAAAAAGCTTCATAACACACAAGGGGACGGTAATAACCGGAGAAGCATGACATGGGCCCTTTAACTGATTTCTTAACTGTATGTTATGTAGACTATAATCAAGAGTCATTAAGTGGGACACAGCTGTCAACTTTTATCATCACTCGAATCAAACATGAATTAAACACAGTTTCTCCACACACTGAGCTTTTTGCCATGTCAAATGACATTTAATAAGAAACACAAAGATCATTAACTAAAATAGTAAACACAAGAATCTCTGTTAGAATATCAAAAGAGATTTACAGAAAGGAATTACAAACCAAATATATTTAACAACATGTACATTTATTCATTCAACAGACACATTTGTCCAATGCAACATTCAGTTAAATATAAATAAAGTTTGCATATACAGCTAAAACTCCTAATCAGGTCACAGACCAGGTTTATAAAAAACGGTGGATTTCTTTAGGCATGTATTTATTGTAATGACTTGCAGGCCGCTGAAGACAATGTCCACAGAGGATGATTTCTAACTTTTTCACTTGACGTTGGTATTAAAGATCAGCAGGATTTGCGGTTAGCGAGGTAACTTCAGGGTTAACTCTGGGTTTCCGGTCCTACAACGCTGGTTCACTTCTTACCGGGGTAGATCTCCATGGTAACTTATGCTGAATACCAAACCTTCTCCGGAGCAGGTTTGGTGTTTTTATGATTATATGCTGTTGTTTAATTCTATGTATTTATATGGGAAAGCTTATTGTAACTATGTTTTGAAAGGTGTTATATAAATGAAGTGTATTATTATATTATCTCTGAAGACATATTAATGTTGACTTTTTTTAAATGCAGGTTTTAAATCCTGGGTTTTGTTTAAGTAGCCACAATTAGCTATTTAGGCATATTGTATATTTACTGCACTCAAAGAAATAACTAATTGGATTAACTCAATTTGATTGTTGGCAGGTTTTCCATCCAATAAATATATGTGGCACAAACTCAAACTAATGGCATCCATGCAGTATAATGTAAATGAGTTAGTCCAACTCAAATGTTTCAAATAGAGTTTAAGTAAAATGATAACATTACCTTTATGAATTTAAATAATGCTAGTCCACCTAAATCCTATTTAATTAATTGAAAATGAAATAATGATGTTAAATATAATTTAATAAAAATGTGTTTGATAGAAAACATGGTTTAGTTTGTTTTATTTTGAAATTCACATTATTCAAAAAATCCTCCATTCCATTCCATACAGTGTTTTAAAAATGAATGAATTCACACTGAAAGATGAAAAACATTTCTGAAAGATAATACACATTTTAAAATGGCAGAGAAATGGAACTCCTAGAATTAACTTACAAATCTCCCTTTGCCAAATACAATGAATAACAGGGTATGAGTATGCACTGCTCTTCTAACAGGGAAATAACACATAACATAAAGAGTGCACTGCAAACACCAACATATGGAAATAGAGTGTTACAGTGTGTTGCAACAAACAAATACAGAAAAGCACAGAACAAATGATTGATATAACTGCTTAATCTGCTCTGATTAGGAAACTCGTGAATAAAATGACAACAATGAACTCATGAGTCACTTCTTTTTCACATTTCAATCGAACAACTTGATCTTCAGACTTTCTATTTGACCATTCAGCTTGTGCCCATCCAGATTCATCACTACCTTCTGCATGAACTCGAAGGTGTGTTTGAGATTGTCCGGAAAGCTCAAATCCAGGACATAAATAAGTTCCAATAGCATGACAAACCCACAATCACGCTGCCCAAGTTGTTCATGACTATATTGCCTTCGATGACAATTCCCACGTCCTCTGGCTGCCCATCCACATCTCTTTGAAGTGTGTATATGCCCATGACTGTGTTTTCCATGTCCTCTTGGCATCTTCAGAGGCCTGAACAAAGACACAAACATACAACACATGTGTTAACTAAAACCTGAATTCACCATAAAACATTTTCATTGCAACTGCATTGAGCAGATTGACTTATGTGGCTCTCCTAATTGATCAACACAGTTTTAGAACCCTCTGGTATCACTCAAATGTACTACATATTTATTTATTCATTTATAGATGTATTTATATATAAATGTAAATATTTATTTCAGCATTCATTTATTATTTGTATTTATTTCCAGATGTATTTAGTCATGTTTTAATTCACATTTGCTTTTATTTATGTCTGTATTTATCAATTGGATTCCTATGTTAATTTATAGATTTATTTATAGCTGTATACATGTATTAATTCACTTTTTTCTATATTTATTTGAACACTTGAAAATGAAATTACTTCTGTATCTATTTTTGTATCTATTTATTTCATTCTTACATATATTCATTCCTATATTAATGTATAGATGTATATATTTCTGCATGTATTTATGATATGTGATAACACATCTAGATGTAAGCAGGGTTAGGGTTGTGTGCCATAGAATGTTCTTATTATAAATGTAAGTAATGGTGGTTATAATTGTGGGTAACACTGTTAACCACTACATTGAAAACACATTGTGATAAACATACTGTTGTTAATGTTTTGTGTAATAAGATGGAGAGGTGGGAGAAGTATCTCAGATCTTGTACTTGAGTAAAAGTAGAAGTAACAGTGAAGGAATACTCTGTTAATGGTGGTTTTGTGGAGTGGACTAGAATAAATCATCTGCTTCTGAATGTGGCCAAGACCAGAGAGATGGTCATTGATTTCAGGAGGAAGAGGACGTCTCCTCAGCCCCTGTGCATTCTGGGAGAGGATGTGGCTGTTGTGGAGGACTACAAGTACCTGGGAGTGCACTTAGACAACGGACTGAACTGGAGGATCAACACTGACACTGTGTACAGGAAGGGGATGAGCAGACTCTATTTTCTGAGGAAGCTGAGATCCTTCAACGTGTGCAGCAAGATGTTGGAGATCTTCTACCAGTCTGTTGTTTCCAGTGCTCTCTTCTTTGCTGCGGTCTGCTGGGGGGGGGGGGGGGGGGGGGGCAGCATCAGAGCCGGGGACACCAGCAGAATCAATAAACTGATCAGGAAAGCTGGGTCTGTCATCGGCATCAAGCTGGACCCTTTTGAAGCTGTGGTGGAGGAAGAAGGACACTGAACAGGCTGTTGTCCATCATGGATAACCCCACCCCACCCCCCTCTCCACCTGCAGCTGGACAGACAGATAACCCCACCCATCCTCTCCACCTGCAGCTGGACAGACAGATAACCCCACCCATCCTCTCCACCTGCAGCTGGACAGACAGATAACCCACCCATCCTCTCCACCCTGCAGCTGGACAGACAGATAACCCCACCCATCCTCTCCACCTGCAGCTGGACAGACAGCGGAGCTCCTTCTCCAACAGACTGCTGCAGCTCTGCTGTCACAAGGACAGATACAGGAAAACATTCCTGCCTACTGCCATAACACTGTACAACAAATCACCTATGGCTGGCAGAGAACTCTCTGCTCCATAGTTTCTCTTGGAATAAAATCACACTGTACATTTTACATTTATATATTCAGTTTAATATTTAATATTCCATCTGTCACATACTTATATAATACCTTGCTTTATATCTTTTTATTGTTAATTTGTAAATTCAACATGTATATACTTTCTTGTTTATTTCTTGTCTCTTAATTTGTATTGTATAATGCCATGTCTTTTTTTGCTGCTGCAACACAAACATTTCCCAAATTGTGATCAATAAAGTACTATCTTATCTTATCTTAAAAGTAAAAGTCCTGCATTCAAAATGCAAACATTTGAAATACTAAAGTAAATTACAAGTAGGCCTACATAAGAATTGTACTTAAGAATAGTCCTTGAGTACATTTACACCACTACTGTTGTTAATGTTGAGTGTAAAAAGATGATGTGGCATTAAACCCTGACTTTAAGTTAGATCCTGTTTGAGGTATTCAGGTTATCTCGGCTTCTACCTGCTGGAGGACTTCGGTACCACATCACCACACGGCGCCATATTAGATACACATTATATTGCAGCGGACGAAGTCAAGGAAAGGGAACTGGACTCCAGATGACAAGGCTTCTCAGGCCGCAGTAGTCAATTCTCAAAACACTCGAGGTGAATGTTTATGGTTGACAACGAGTAATTTAGTCAAACATCTCGGGCAGTGCAGTCCGAGGCGTGCTGTTTTCGTCGTTGTTTCGCTGAGTTGCCGGCAGACATGTCTTCCTTGGTTCAGCGGAGCTCGGGCCTGGTGCAGAGGCGGGACCGAATCCTCGCGCAACGCCGCCGACAAAGACCGTCCGGACGGCGAGGAGGACGAGGAGCCCCGCCGGGGAGACGAGCCGGACGATGACGATACCGGAGACTCCAAAGAAACACGTCTCACCTTGATGGAAGAAGTGCTGTTGTTAGGACTGAAGGACCGAGAGGTAATAGCAGATACATCCTGGTCTCTAACGCAGTAACATGAAGGTAAATCTTAACATTAGACGATGGTATGTTGCCCAAGCTAACGTTAGCGCCCTTGTTTGCTACAACGCTAGCTATAGCTAACAATAATAATGGGCCTCAGAGCTGCAGGCCGAGCTGTTTATGCCTTGAGTCTAAACACGGTTTTGTGGAGAAGCGACTAATAACATAACTCAGTTATCAGGTGGTCAGTGAATTGGATATTGTCTTGTGACAGATAGTGTTTCTTGGGACTTTTGTGCCTATCGGTACGCTGATGCTAGCTAGCTAGTTAGCTTAACTGAATACAGGGAAAACGATTACAAACAGTGGCCAGAGTAACTCAAACACATGGCCATGTGTTAATGATCTGTTGGTTTGTACAGTCTGGTAAACATGTTAGATAACAGGAATGCTGAATGTCAATCTTCTGCTATAGGGTCAGTCTTTAATGTGACCTTATCACTGATTAAAAAGTGTACTTGTGAGAGAATTCTAAAGTATTGTCAACCCACTTGTACTATTTCCTGTCTTGTTTTTAATTTGTATTCTGACACATCGTATCCCAGTGGAGTTGATTCGGATTTGTTCACACTGATTTACAGAAAAACACCCAGTTAAAAGCCAATATTTGGAAATCAATCTAAAAAGTCGGAACTATCTCTAGGCCACCCATTTCAAATATACGTTTTGTTAGAATTTCTACGGAGGATTACTGTCTTAACATGGCTAGTGCATTTTCTTTTTTAATCTCAAAAGAAACTACATAATACAAATAATAAAAATCCATTTCTAATCTGTTACAAGTTAAATGAAAATAATGAGTCAAAGTGTTATTCGATCAATATCAAAAGCTGATTTGTTTAACTTTCAATTTGACTTTTGACTGACTGACACATTCCAATCTTGCAACCAACTCTGTTGCAGTCATTGATGGAGAAAAAACCTGATACTGCACACAAAGCAATGCACATACCTAAGGATATTTAACCAGCATTTTTGCATTTTATAGGAAGGCTTCTTCATCCTTTAACTACAAATTGAGTGTGGATAAGGCAGTGTTTGATTTAGTGCTTACTACTTGCAACCGGATGTTAGTAAAGTAGAGTATTTAGGGATAGGCGTTGCTAATTTGCTCAGGCTGTAAATGCTGTGGTATGGCATTGGTTTATCATTCATACTTCCCCCTATACAAATAAGCATTGTATAAATAGACCGAGTGCAATACGGTTGAAAGCTCAGGGTTGTTTTTCAACCCAAAACGTATTAGATTGGTATCAAGTTACTTTCGTGTCTGTGTTTAAAATCTGCATCAGCTCTTTTGGTTTTATTTGCTTGTGTTTCTGTAAAGCTTTCTCTAACTTTTTTAAAACTCATGTCTATGACTTGACTGACAGGAACTGTAGGTGTTGTTTTCAAAGTATCTGTTTCATTACCATGTTTACTCACTGGGCTTATCCGCTTGAGCAACAGCAATTCTCCTGGCAGCCAGTCCGGGTCCAGTGAGCTCTTCTGTTAGTTTAGCAGTTGCACGGTAACCTTTTGACACACCAGGATTCTTACATGTGTTTCCATGTTGTAGGGCTACACCTCGTTCTGGAATGACTGCATCTCATCAGGGCTGCGGGGGTGCATGCTGATCGAGCTGGCTCTGCGAGGACGTCTGCAGCTGGAGGGCGTGTGGCATGAGGAGGGAAAGGTCTGCTGGCCAGGAAGGTAGGACGCCTGTTTATTTTTTTTCGTTTGTCTTAATCTGTGCTTCTACCACCATCTTGTATTGCAACCGGCACAGTTATTCACAACCAGCTTCAACAAACTCGTAACAACTAACTCTACCAGTGTTCCAAAGACTTAGTGAATGTCTGACATTTCCAAGGGAAGTTAAGTTAAGTGCACCATTTTTTTTTTTAAAGGGAACTTATTGGACCAAGGGGGGCACATATAAAAACAATACTAGGTCTTATGTGGACTGTCTGAGCTTACTGACTGCAGGCATCATAATACCGAAGAGTATATAGTTGAGAAGAATTATATTTTAATTACCAGCAGATGGTTACCTAAAGAAAAGTACACAGTTTATTATTTATTAACATCTTCTGCTAGTTTTCAGCTACCTGTGGGTCTAGAATCATTGAGCAGGCATTATCCTATTGCAGTATTCTTGTAAACATTTATTTAAAACACATTGTGTTTAGACCCTAGCTTTGCACAAAGTGTTCATTGTTGGCTTGAAATTTCAAAGTTTACCCATTAATCAACTTGCAAGCTATTCAACTTGTAAAGTCTATGTATTTGAAACATTTATAGATATTTTTGCAAACTAATGGATGCTTTCTGTCTATGATATCGTAAGTGTATTCCGGAAGGAAAGTTTCCACTCAACTCTATTCTCTACATGCTTAAACTCCTTACTGTTCCATATTCTTTCATTATTATTTATAAAGCGCAGAGTGAAACCAAAGGAGTGTATTTGTGTTTAGAAGGAGTTTTCCATTTATTGTCATAACGTACTCGGATGAATGAATTCATTTACAACACGTTGTTTGTTTTAATCAGCTTCTGCAATCTGAGGAATTTCTGCTTTTCTCTGTTTTATGTCAATGTGAAATGAAACTATATTTGAAATTTGGGCTGTTGGTTGAACAAAACATTTAATTTAAAGATGTCAGCTTGGGCCTCTAGCATTTGTCATCGTCTTCACATATTTTATTGACCAAACAACACACACATTACAACTGACCTGCCATCACTTTCCGTGTGTGATGTGACGGCGAATGTCACTAAGCGATGTTAGTATAGAATTAACGAAAAAACGGAAGCTTGTGTCAATGTCAGCGTCTGTCCTCTGATAACACTTTGTAACCGTCATCATTCTGACCGTGCAGGTGATCTGTAAGTCAGACGCTCCGACGGGCGACGTGCTCCTGGACGAAGCACTCAAACACATCAAAGACACTCAGCCCCCCGAGACCGTGCAGAGCTGGATCGAGCTGCTGAGTGGTGAGTTCAGGGCCTGCATCGGCCCCGCACCCCGTGGTGATGCTCAACTTGAGGGCAGCAACAATAATAATTTTAAGTGATGGTAGTTTACTGTTTAACTTTAAGAATTGATGATACTGAGGGAAGAAATAATCTGTTTATGCTTTTGTACAAAAACTAGGGCTGGGCAAGTTAACGCGTTATTATCGCCAGCAAAAATGTTATCACACAGAAACGTCTTTTTTATTATTATTATTATTTTGAAAGTCCGTTGCTCACTGGCTCTGAATACACATACAGACCAAACATGGGTCATAGGTGGGATGTTGATCAATATTGGCTTAGGATGGGAATCATCATGTGTCTCAGCCAATGAGAGCATAGGGCTAAGACTGCTGCAGCGCTCAAATGAACGGAAACAGAAACAAGTGGCGGGGACAGAAACATGGAGGAAGGTACCGAACTCTGACAAGGACATTTTACATCTCTTCAGACGGAGGAGTTGATAGAACCAGAGTTATTTGTAACCAACTAGATAACACATTAATGCCGTGGCAGTGGCAAATATCTTTGGTTTTATATTTGATTTGATTACATTAATTAATGTTGAAGATGAAGATTTACAAGAAATATTTAACTGCTACTGTGTAAAGTCAAATCAAATCAGGTTTTATTTATAAAGCACATTTAAAAGCGATTTTTGGTCGAGCCAAAGTGCTGTACATGTAATAAAAACACATTACTACGAAACACAATAAACGACAATAAATTAACACAGATATATCTTAAAAAACAAATAAAAATAAAACACACGGAAAAGTCAGGAGTCGTGCTCCGCTCTAACTAGAAAGCCAGAGAGAAGAAGTGTGTTTTTAGTTTAGATTTAAAAACCCCTAGGGTCTGGGCCGACCTCACATGGAGGGGCAGAGTGTTCCAGAGCCTGGGGCCAGCTGCTGCGAAGGCTCGGTGCCCTCGGGTTTTTAGCCTGGTCTTGGCACTACCAGCAGCAGCTGGTCAGCAGACCTTAAAGCTCTGGCTGGGTGTAGCGCTGGAGGAGTTCAGCTATATAGGCCGGAGCCAGCCCATTTAGGGCTTTAAAACAAATAAAAGGATTTTAAAATCAATTCTGAACCGAACTGGAAGCCAGTGTAGTGAGGCCAGAATAGGGGTGATGTGGGTCGCGCTTTTGTGACCAGTCAGCAAACGTGCAGCAGCGTTTTGGACTAGCTGTAAGCGTTTGATTGAGGCCTGGTCCATACCCACATACAGAGCGTTACAATAGTCCAGTCTCGGAGGTTACAAAGGCGTTAATAACCCTTTCTAAGTCTTTAAAAGATAAATACGACTTGGTTTGGCCAATAGTCCTTATTTAAAAAAGCAGGATTTTACTACGGTGCTGACCTGCTTGTCGAATTTAAAAGTGCTGGTGAAGGTCACTCCAAGGTTCATGACCGAGGGGAGGATGTTTTTTTTGATAGAGCCCAGAATATCAACCGGAGAGGCTGGAGGTTGCGGTCCAAAAAAGATGACCTCGGTCTTGCTCTCGTTGAGGTTGAGGAAGTTTTTGCTCAGCCAGGATTTTATCTCTGTTAAGCAGTCCATCAGCTGCTGTAGTGAGTGTGTGACATTTGCTTTGAGAGGCAGATAGATCTGTACATCGTTGGCGTAGCAGTGGAAGGGAATGTTATGTTTTGTGAGTATTGAACCTAGGGGCAGTATGTACAGTAGAAAAAGGATGGGGCCCAGAATCGAGCCTTGGGGAACCCCAAAGAGAATACTGCTGTTAAAAAGCACCTTATTGTTTAACCTGTTAAACCCCATGCCCGCGCAACAATATTCACGAAACTGTGTCTCAGGGCTTCTTAACATTTAACAACCTATTAATGTGTCATACCCACTTAACGGGAAGAAACTCAGCGAACTGACGATATGAACCATTTTTACTGAAACGAAACACAAGTCTAACGCCGATCGTCTGAATTGACACTAAGCGAAAGAGTGCTGACGCACTTAGCACATAACTCACGGTAGCAATATTGTATACTTAATGCAATCTGATAGATATCATATGAAAGCTGAGATTCCACAGATTCCAATGGAATAAGTTTCATCACTGTGCGACCAAAACTCACGGCAGCAAAAGCCAGGAAAGACAACACACAACTTCACTTTACGTGGCCAAAACGGCAAATACGTCTTACCTTTGCTGTTTTCTGATCAAAAGTTGTGTTCAATGGCATTAAAACGCATATAAACGCTGCTGAAGGTTAATCCAATGTCTCTGTGTCACTTTGAAATGATTACTGATAATCCATCATAACATTTATTGCAATAAACTGATTTTTCATATAGAATGTAACGGAGTTTTGGCAAACTGCGTGCGCATCGCTCTCATTCCTCGTAATGTTTAGGTGGATTTAGGAACTCCCCCCGATTCTATTGGCTCTAACAGTTCAAAAGAGGTGTCAATCACCAAAATCGGCAGATGGGTTCCAGAGATATGGCAAATCCACCCAAATGTTTTTTTCTAAACCTCTCTAAAAAAGGTCAGATTTCGCTTGTTTTGCATCAATCTTGATACAGGGTACTTATTATATGTTGTAGTTTGGATTCCTAAAGCTTTTAGTCTACTATCCCATCGTTCAAGGGTGGTTTTCACTATAAGTAATGGTTTTCTTTTTGGACGGAAACTATTATTTAATTTTTTTAACTATGTTCAATCTGAATTTACTTTAAAATAAAAACATCTATACTTGATTTCTGACTTTTCTACATCCAACTCACAGGTGTATCATTGCTTTGAGAAAAAAGATTATTAATTTACCCCTTTTAGAAGTGAAGTTATAGTCATTTGTTCTGGGAATGTCATTTTCGAGCCTGAGGCCTGAAAAACAGGCGCAGGGCTTAACAGGTTCAAGTGTTTGCAAACCAAATGTTATTGCACTTTTGTTCATATAGCAGTATTTTTTTTTATAAAAGTACGCAATACACTACTTTCCATTCATTATTGAATTTTTGCGCATAACAATGCCCATTAATCGCAATACAAATTGTAACCGTTGCCCAGCACTAACAAAAACACATTGGAATCTTTTGTATTTACCAGATTTTGTATTACGTTTCTTTTTAAATGGTAATTTAATAATAATGAATAATTGCTCAAATATCACAAGATTTCAGTCTAAGCCTACGTCAGCAATGTGTACAGTATCCGAGATACTGACTCGTTTTTATTGTCTTTTCAAAGCGGCTAGTTTTGTCAGAATACCTTTATCCATCCCAAAGAGGGGAGATTTACATTGTTACAAAGAGCCCAAGATAGCTTAATATTTATTAAGAAGAAGCACGCATCAAATATTAAAGATAAAAGTAGAAATTAAAACTTTCCCAATTTACAAAATACACATCTGTTACAAGTAACAGTATTTAAAAGTGTTGCATGTATACAGTTTTAAGATAGCAGCCAGGTGATGGTATTAAACGTCAAAGTATATATTGCACAGCTTTTTTACAGATTTATCACAGAAGTTGAATTGTCTAACAAGAAGCAGCCAGTAGTAATAATAATAATAATAATATTATATGCATACATATATATTTTGCACTTAAGTAGTATTTCACAACAGGGGTGTTCTAGTGGATTAACGGTCTTTCTTTTTATCGTCTCTCTTCAGGAGAGACGTGGAACCCCCTGAAGCTTCACTATCAGCTGCGGAACGTCCGTGAGAGGCTGGCCAAGAACTTGGTGGAGAAAGGCGTCCTCACGACTGAGAAGCAGAACTTCCTGCTGTTCGACATGACCACACACCCTCTGACCAACAACAACATCAAGCAGCGCCTTATCAAGAAGGTCCAGGAGTCCGTTCTGGAGAAGTGGGTGAATGACCCGCATCGAATGGAAAAGCGGCTGCTGGCGCTCATCTTCTTAGCCCACTCCTCTGATGTGTTGGAGAATGCCTTCGCCCCGCTGCTAGACGACCAGTACGACCTGGCCATGAAGAGAGTGCGCACGCTGCTGGAGCTGGAGCCCGAGGGGGAGAGCCTGAAGGCCAACGCCAACGAGCTGCTGTGGTCCGTGGTGGCCGCCTTCACCAAATGAGGCCCCACAGAGAGGACAGCGAGCAGTTGTGGCATTCAAGTGGCATTGTACTTTGGGGAAGGAATCAGAGCCCCCAACATGGTGACTTGACTGAATTACAGTTCCCCCCCCCCCCCACCTGGGCTTTTGGAATGGGCTGCCCTCTTTCCTCATCTCTCTTCCTCTGCTCTTTATTTTCCTTCCAGATGACTGTCCATGTTGATCCTCCATGGCCACGTCCCCCCCCCTGTGACGTTCGTGTTCACTTTTGCTAAAAATAATAACTAATGGAACTCTGGATGAAGTGGTAGGGTCATGATTTGGGTGGAGGCTGAAATCAAGATTCATATCCTTTTAATTTTCTATCGGGTGTATCTTTGGAACTGTTTATGGAGGTACGGTATGTAAGGCACAGGCGACTCAAGGTAGCGTCCTGACCCCCCTGAGAATAAAATAACTAACGGAGATGTGCAGGGCGGTGATGCTTCACAGGAAGGAAAGGTTAGCCTGTCTTTAAATGTATGGATACAATGTGTTCGGTGTCACAGCATTCATCAACTTTAAAATCAAGGACTGGGTAGAAACTAATGTGAGATATGCCCTTAAATCTATCCTGGATGTTAACCTGTTAGTCCTGTGCAGGGGGCTGGAGACTGACACTGGCAGGGGGTGCTACACCCTGCACATGTCACCAATATATCATTGGGCTGACACAGAGACAGACAGCCAATCACACCTGCAGGCAGTTTCAAGTTCATCCGATCTGCATGTCTTTGGACTCTGGTGGGGGGGGGGGGGGGGGGGTGGGGTTGATGCAGGCACTTGGTAAAGATGGCAACAGCACTAACCCCCCCAGCCTGAGAGCGCCCTACATTCCATCGCTGCTGGCCACGAGTGTGGAAGATGGGTGGTCTACCTACACATGCATGGATACACACAGGCCCTGGAATATGGAGTGTTGACTTGTGACTTATCACTTACTTACACCTCAGCCCCATTGAATTCTGGGAAACCAGTTTAAAATGAAAAGCCAAAATATAGAGAACTTAATTTAACGGACCCATTTAGGTTAACACAGTGCCGAGATAATACAAATTCTAAAGTTTTGCTCACATGTCTAATTGACAGGGCTGATAGAAGTGCTACGTATGATAATGAAAGGCAAATAGAAAATTATGTTAATCTTTCTGTCATAAAAATATCATACTGTTTTAAATATCCTCTGGCCAGTAGTATTTTTTTATTCGCAATTTAATGGGAATTTTGGCGGAGGACTTGGGCTCGTATCGAATCTTATCCAGATGCACTGGCAAAATGTGTGCACGTCTAACATTAAGTACATTCAGGATGTAGTATCATTTGAAAGCATTCACATCTTAGTCTGGGTTTAGCTTGATACAATGTGTAGTTTATTGGATTTGGTAGTATCATCCAACATCATTTTTATGTCCGTTAAATGATTCAAACCCTCTTTGCATAAGCGCCTGTTAAGTGTCAAATTCAACGATTTTAGTGGCAGAAGCACACTCTGGAATCGGACCCAATCAACAAAAAGTTGTCACTTATTAGTGATTTAAAAAATAATCCCAAATGAAGTAATCTACAGGTTTTGACGCTAAATGAAATCATGTATGTCGATCTCCTCCCCAGCATTTGAGTTTGCCACCTGGACTTCATTTAAAAAACAACACCTTCAAGTCAAATGTTTTGAGGTCACCTAAAACATTTGGTCAATCGGTCAATGAATGTGAAGATAAATGTGGGTTTCAGCTCTTCTCCAGCACAAGGAGAGGTTCTGGAAGTGTTTCAAACAGACTGGATCACACAAACATGTTCCCATTGCTCCTTCAAACATCATTTGCGTGATTTGTTCTAATGCTCTGCATTTAATCTGTTGAGCCTGGCTGAAACACTCTAGCCTCACCCTGGTCATGGATGCACAGAGCTGAAATAGATCTTCTCATATATGCGTGGTGACAGACAAAGTGTGTTTTCTTAAATGTCAGTGATGCTTTAATGTGCAGACAGTCTTACTTTGCAGCTACTTGTGAATGCTCTCAAATGAAATCCATTGTATGAACTAAACTTGGATGATCTAACATGCCCACCAATGTGTAATCAGAGGAATCACATGATGGGCTCACATTCCAGATGGTGGTGTGTATATACTTGTGTATTTGTCTATGATGGTTCAGCTGCACTGTCTTTCAAACTGTTGTTACATAGTGCTCTAAAACATTCATCAAAGCCTTTCACCATTAACCATACCTTGCTATTAGTTTGTCTTTGCCTCAATGTTTTTATTTGTGTCATTATTCAGTTTTAACAAGTTTTGCTACTCAAAGACATTGCTTTATTACAGATGGCCTCCCTCTGGTATAGTATGTAGCAAAGAGCTGCGAGTGATGGTGGGAGAAGACAAGAGGTGGCCAAGAGATTTATGCACCAGAAATCACCTCAAAATGCGACGTGAATATGAGATTATATATGTTATCTAAATAAAGGGACCTCTAGTCTGTGTACTACTTTCTTTGACCCTAAAAATAAACCAAGAGCTTGGAAGTGCCTAAACATACGACTGATTTCTAACACAACTTCTTAGTCACATCTGAGGACAGAGAACAATCTGCAGGATGAAGTGTTTAACAAGAGTTTCACTGGAAACCTTACATCACATGTCACCAGGGCCGGCCCTAGGGACTGGCAAACTAGCCGGTCGCCTAGGGCGCCAGATCTGGAGGTTATAAAAAAGGAAATAATTCATTAATTAATTTTTTTTATTCTGCCTAATTTTCTGCCCTTGATGTAATACATTTACATTAATAATTGAATAAAGTAAACACCCTTTGCACCTCGGGCCGGCAACATTTTGTTGTGCGCTGTAAGTGAGGGATGTTGACTTATCAGGCGAGAGAGAATGCATCGGTACCGCGGATTGTTGTTGGATTGAGGCTGATAACTACAGCTCAGTGAGGTAAAGGACTCTGAGGCCCGTTCTCATGTCTTCAAATGTCCCTCCTCGACTCCTATCCTCCAGACTTAGTCCCGCCCACAGGAGATGCGAGCGGAGGAGCCGAGGAGAGAGGAGGGGAAGCAGCAGGCGGTTAGAGAAATGAGAACTCCTCTCCTCTGAGCGGTCATTTTAAAGAGACGTCCATTAATGATGACAGGAGGCACAGCAGCCCTCTGTCTGATGGACAGATGTGTTCATGACGACTTATATATTTACTTTTAATTCATTCACAGTGCGGTATAATGAGACAATAACAGGCTACAGATGCGGACAGACACACACACATATATGTATATATTTATATAAATATATACAATTTCAGAATCAAACAGAGCACTCTCATAATAACGTAACACTATCAGAGACTGGATATATCCCCCCCCCCCCTCTCTGGTCGCTACAATGAGAGAAATAAATGACGGGCCAAAAGTTTTATTTACAAGTATTACAAGTAAGCAGAGGACACCAAACCAACTGAGACCTGTCTGTCCGCTGCATCTACGCACACACTGCACCACACACACCTACACCACACACACGCACCTACAGCTCCTAAAGCATATAATCAGGCTACAGCCGTTGTGTATTTTATTATGTGAAGCACTAAATGGTTTTAGAAAAATATCGACTTTGTATATATCTACTAAACTAAAGCAAATAAAGAGAGTAGGCCTGTTATACTGAGTGATATGATATATATTATACACACTGCTCTGCTTTCTGCACGGACCTCACAGCTGTTCTCACTGTAAACATCGCGTCGCGATGAAAGCAGTTAATAAAATAATATCCAGGGGATGCATGCAGAGCTGTCATTGGCTGAGATAAGTCCGGCCGTGCGTCTCGACTCTTTGAAACATCACTGTTGCCGGAAATGCATCCACGAAGGAGCCGTGGAGGACCGCGGAGGACCCATCAGTGTATCCTCGGTTATAGCTCCTCGACGCTCGATGCTCGGTCCTCGATGTGCATTTCGAGAAATGAGATGTCCTTCAAAATGGCGCGCTAAAATTCATTTCCGGGTCACTACCGGAGGACCGAGGAGGGACATTTGATGACATGAGAAAGGGCCTGAGTGTTTAGATAGTTCACTTTAGTCTAAGTTATCTCAGTGGGTCTCAAACGGTTTGATCACAATTTATGTAAACAAATATTTCCAAGGCACACCTTTATAATTATTAGGATAAATAAAAACAGGTTTGAAATAATTTCAATGTATACTATAGGACAGTAAACCAAAAATATCGTTTAAAACTGAAGAGATAAAAAAATATGCATGAATAAATAAATGTTAACTGGTAAAATAAGATATGAATGAACAACAACAAATAAAATCAGTTACATTTATTTGTTATTGGCTATGGTAGGTTATTGGTTATGTTCACATACTTATTTGGTTATTAAAATGTAAACCGATCTTTTTCATATGGGTGTTTAGAGTTGTACCCCCTAGATCAGGTCTGTAGTAATTCTGCTCAAAGTGCACCAGATTGAAGCATTTTACTTTAAAATGTTAAAAACCAGATGTCTAGGGCCGGCCCTGCATGTCACTGAGCTGACACTATCCAAAGCTTACTTCACATTACCTCTCAGATGCCTATGTAAGCATTTTGAGGGTAAGTATACAAATTCCTCTATTTGTCCCGCAGTGGGGAAATGAACATCAATACAACAGCAGATGTATATTGCAGATAAAGTGAAGAGAATAAACATACATATTGAACAATAATTAAGTAGTATAAAATCCATAAGTAAAAAAACTAATTGCAGATTTTACACCATGGTAAAAAAAGTAGCAGTATATATTTTTTTAAAGGAGACCATATCAAATGTAAGAGGTAGCTGGAGGAGCTGCACAGTGCAGACATGGTCTCTGATTGGTAGATGCCCATGTATCTCTTGAGCCACAGCTCAAATTACACATTTAATTCATTGGGAAATACATATATAAGCCAGCTATACTCTACTGAGAATAGCTACGCCCAAAATAGGACAAATTGGCTCTGAAACATGACATGAGGCCTTTTCCTGGAACAATCCAGCTTTTTAGAATATGTAATTTCTTAGTTTGAGCATGTATTATTATTATTATTATACACAAAACCACTAACATCAAATCATTGAAACATATTTAAAAAAAAAAAATACAAATTCATAAACTCCACAATTAAGGTCACGTTAGACATTTAAAGTACAATTAGTTCTGATGAACTAAAGAGCAGATCGCGTTCACACAGGAATAAGTTCCTGAGGGAGGATTAGGCAAATGAAGCCACTGACGTCACTTCTTCTTCTGCTTTGGGTTTACTGGCAGGCCGCAAACAACTTCACGGCGTATACTGCCACCCGAAGTCCCCGGCCAGAAGTCGTTGGGGACTGGCTTCAGAGTAAATCGCCAGAACGCCGACACCTCATCTCCACCACTCCCATGTTTTCTTTTGTGTTGCCATAAGTTAGTCTCTCTCCGTTGGTGCACTGGGCTAATGCTAATGCTGCTAATGCCAGCAAATACAATGGCGGCTTCACAAAACTTTTCCGAGTTTTACGGGGCGTGGTTTGCAATCCGCCTAGCCAATCAGAAATGGGAATCTTTTTCTCCCATGAAAGTACCTGCTCTCTAGCAGGGACTAAAAAGGGGGTGAAAAGGTTCTCATGAACTAAGTTCTAGTTCCGGATTTCTTTGGTGTGAACGCAACATTTCAAGAACTATCGGAACTATACTGGGAAAAGTACTCCGGTGTGAAAGCGCCTAATAAGAAAGGTTGTGGTTCTTATACATTTACCCACGTAATACCTAGATAATATTTCACAACAAACAAACCTTCATGTGTCTCTTCCCTGCTGTTTAAATATTTTCCCACAAACATCACACCCGAATGGTTTCTCTCCTGTGTGGACTCTCGTCTGTGAATCTCCCTTTGGTTTCACTCAGACATATTTCTCACGTACCAAACAGCTGGGGGACTTTAGTCCAAAATGAACTTATAGAATCGGAAGTGTTTTTCCCTGGCTACACGCCACATGACTTACAGGAGCATATGAACCACGCCGAGGGGCCGGGGGCTCTTTCCAGTCGGCTTGGTCGAAAATTATTAAACGATTAAGGTTTTGTTTCTAAACCTTAAAAAGTTGTAGTTAAAGATAAAGAATAGATAAAGAAAGTGTGTTTGTTTGGCCCAACTTGCTGAGTTAACCTCACTGATGCGGCTTTCACACCAGCGCTTTTCCCTTTCTAGCTCCGAGCTAGAGCTTTTCTGGTTCAGCTCCGGTTTCCCTTTTCTGCTCCCGCTTTGTTCACACCACTCAGAGCCGGGATGGTGCTGCCGCTGCTGCGTCATGACGTCACCGTTTACATCGCTGATTTGCTCCACAACGGCGCTCACAACAACAACAACGGGGGACTGCGTCGGGTCGATGATCGTGTGACTACTTGCTAAGCCGTTTTCCACAATGATGGTGCTGCCGCTGTTATACAATGATCAATAACAGCGAACGGATGGTCAAAGTAAGGTACAAATAAACAGAATCACACGAAGCCTGGTTAGTGTTGCCTGACTTTATAAAGTGTGTTTTTTTGTATAAGTGTGTGGTTGCCTTCTAGTCACTTTGCTCAGCGCTACTGCTTGTAGGCAGGCATGACGAGACTCTTCAGTCGACCCATGTTCAGGGGAGGTGGGTTTAGTTTCCTGCACGCCTCGACGTAAGAGAGACGTAAGCGCCGCCGCCTCTTAGCTCCGAAGCTCTTGCCTCTAGACCGACAATTTTTTGGAAGTGAACCGCATTCCGGAGCTAAGAGGCGGCGCCGCTGCGGTGTGAACAGGAAAAACGGTACTTTTCAGGCTCTAGCTCCGAGCCGGCGCTGAAAACGCGTTGGTGTGAAAGGGGCATCAGAGTGTGCTCTATACTTTAACCAGCAACTGGGTTATTGTTACCCAACGTACCCCTAAGATGTTACTGACCCAAATGGAGTTGATTGGATGAAAACTGTAGGAGGATCTGTTCAAATGTGGGGCCCGAAAAGTGCGAAAAATTGAAAAATGGCCTACTCCCTGTTGGGTTCCGATATGCCTCCAAGAGGTTTTTTTGTGCCCACAGACCGGTTTCAGAATTGTAGGTTTCACCTGAACGAGGGGCTCTATAGAGCTTTATGCTGACGGTCCGAGAACGGGACCCCCCCTAAATATAAAATGTTTCACCAGTCCTGACAAGTTTGTGAATACAAAAAAATCAGTAAACGTTAAGGTCTTGAAAAAGGCTATTTACTTATAGGAAACAAATAAAATAAGAAAAAATAAACAGAGCAATTTCAATAGGTCCTTTGCTCCGAGCCCTAATAATGTCTTACACGGTTGAGGTTTAATCCTATTTGTCTAATAAATTGAGACGCAGAATACAAACGTCAGTCTTTTTAAAACTCTACACAACACTGAAGTGACAGCTGTGTGTTGAACTGCACTGTTGAACTGCACTCATTCAGAGCCTACGGTGAAAATGGAAATGACCGCTTCTGGAGACATATCAGGGAGTACAATCTACAAGACTTGCATAATGTAATGTAATCCTCCTTCAGCCATCAGTGGCCTGTGTCCCTTTGGACCACTATCTGCTGTCAACGCTGAAGGGAAAGAAGCCATGTGCACAAAGGATAATGAACATTACCAAATGTGTTTAATGACAATAAAATCTGAAGCTTTGCTACTGTACTTGTCCCTTCTTCCAACAGGTGAGTATTGTTCAATATGACCCTCCGCCTTTCTTTTGTGCAGACATTCAGAGTATGTTGTGACTGGTTAGTAGCAGAAACATCTGGAAGGCTGGGTGGTAATTAAATCCCCCAGATCCAACACATTATTTTATCACTTCTACTACTACTTCCATCATCAAATGAGACTGCACACATCATGTCAGAGAACCTACAGCAGAATAATTTACATATTATATTGTGAGTTCAAACATAATTGAAACAAAATTAAAAAGAAACATCCAATAATCAAAACACACGTTAGAAATAAAGTCAGTAATAAAAGACAGTTTAAGCCATGGTTGATTGGTAATTACAATAAAATGACATCAGGTATCCCTTCTGTTTGTAATGCTCTCTGCAGTAATCCTTCCTACTTGGTCATTTTAATATGGAGTCTGATCTCCACATGTATTTGTTGACGAACCTTAATGGGTCTCATTCAATTCCCTTGACTTTCAGTTCATCTCGGACTCGGCTGAGATAATCAGGGTCTGGGTATCCATAGCTGCAAACACAAGAACACACATTCAGGGACTTCATGTCAAGAATATCAGGTTTGCTGTTGCTGTGCCTCCTGTGAACTCATACGAGACATCTGTACTGGATTTCAGTGTCAGAAGGTACTCTTGCCATAAATTCATAGGAATTAATGAACGCACACCATTAATTGTAAAGGGAAAGAAATCAGGTTGTGCCATTACATGAGAGGTAATTATAGCAGTACAGTCAGGGATGCAAACTCATCAGGTATGAAAAAGGTGACAAGGATCCGAGCCCCCCGACCCCACGGAATATCGGCTTTAAAATTAGGAATAACAGATGATTTTAGCAGTCGGAACAACTAAAGCAGTTAATAATAACAGAAACGCCAAAGAGTCACATCTAATAGAAATTTATAAAAGCATTTATTTTAATTGTGTAGCAGTCAGTTTATAATTTTAGCAGCACTGTTGAGCATTTTGAAAATGTATTTTCATGCCTCTGTGTGCAAGGCTTAGTCTTTCTATCTGTATAGCCAGTGGTGTAAAGTAACTAAATTCATAAACTCAAGTACTATACTTGGGTACAATTTTGAGATACTTGTACTTTATTTAAGTATTTCAATGTTTTGCTACTTTGTTCTTCTTCTCCTCTACAGTTCAGAGGTAAATGGTGTACCTTAACTCTACTACATGTATTTAATAGCTTTAGTTACTTTACAGATCTGGATGAATGATGTGAAATATAATCAAGTGTTAAATCAGACTTTAGTTCCACCTGGAGTAAATTCACAAGCTACCCTGCAGTATACAAAGTCATTCAAACTAGCTGCACCTTTACCAGCTTTGATAACACTTTCATGATCAATCATTATAAAACATATCATATATATTATTCTGAAATGGACCAATCTGCACAATGACTACTTTTACTGTCACTACTTTAACCTCTTAAGCACGACGGTCCCCTCATTGGACCCCTCCCACTGTTTTGTTTTTAGACAATGTCTCAGGGCTTCTTAACATTTATGAAACTATTAATGTGTAGCACCAGATTAACGGGAAGAATCTCAGCTAACTGAAGATATGAACCATTTTTAGCTAAAAGAAACACAAGAGTAAAACCAAGCCTTTTGAATTAGCATTTTGCGAACTAATGCTAACGGACTTTTGCACAGGACTCACTCTCAAAATGCCCTTATTACTTATCGTAACTGCACAAACAAGATATCCGATTAAAGCTGAGACTCCACAGTGCTGACTGTGAGGGATTTCTATGTTTTCCTGTCCATTATCATTTTCTCAGGCCTCGTCACCGTTCACAACCGATCGGACTACTGGAGGAAGAAATGGCCATATAACTTCAAATTCCCAGGTGATGCGATGTCCCGGGACCGCTTAGGAGCCATCATGTGGTCACTGCACCTGAGCAACACTGAAGAAGACGAGGAAAACGATCGCAAAAGGAACACCGCTGAGTACGACAGACTTTTCAAGATAAAGCCCCTGTACACGGACATCGTTACTGACCCCAGCAGGACAAAGCCACACACACAGAAGACTTTCAGGGAGCAGCTTGCTTCTGAAATGTTGGAATATGGAACACCTCCACTCCCCCCCATCAATTTTGATACAGGGTACTTATTATATGTTATAGTTTGAATTCCTAAAGCTTTTAGTCTACTAACCCATCATTCAAGGGTGGTTTTCACTATAAGTAATGTTTTTTTTTTTAGGCTGAGATAGAATTTACATGTTTTTACTATGTTCCATATGAATTTACTTTAATATAAAAACATCTATATTGATTCTGACAATTCTACATCCAACTCACAGATGTAACCTTGCTTTGAGAAAAAAGATTATTAATTTACCCCTTTTAGAAGTGAAGATATAGTCTTTGTTGTGTTAGTGGCATTTTCGAGCCTGAAACCTGAAAAACAGGCTCAGGGCTTAACAGGTTAACTATATTTTGATGAGAATACTTTTCTACTTTTACTTGAGGAACATTTTGAATGCAGGACTTTTATTGTAACAGAGTATTTCTACACTCGAGTACTTCTACTTTTACACAAGTACAAGATCTGAGTACTTCTACTTTTACTCTAGTACCAGATCTGAGTGATTCTACTTTTACTCAAGTACAAGATATATACTTATACCACCTCCGTTTATAGTCTATGAAAAAAACTATTTGAAAACGAAGGCTAAAGCTAACGTTAGCAGATAGTGACAATGTATGCTAGTTAGCTAGCTCAACGATTCATTAAATAATATTGCGACAGAAAAGCTTTTCAGTGCACATCACGCTCTGCCGCTCCGACAGGGAGCTCTGCTCTGAACACCTGAACGGCCCGTTCTAACAGCTGTTCACCAGTGGTCCAGTCTGTGCCACAGTGACTCCGGACCGCACAGTTAATATTAACGAACGCACCGTAGGTAATGTAGCTGCTGAAGCTAGACCCTCATCCCTGAGCAGCAGAGCCTTATTATACATCCATGAGCAGAGCCGACAGGCAGGAAGACTCGAGCACACAGCTCGCGCTTCATTATAATATATAAAAAAAGAACACCATGCGTGTCATGATGGCACATAACAGCTCACGGCCGCAGATTACTCCGGGTCTCAGACCCCCGCCATACCCCAAAAATATTTTTATTGCAGATCTACATGAATCACACAAACGACCTATTTTGGATTCAAAATGGCGAATTTCGCCGAAAGGTGACAAGTTTGCATCCCTGACAGTATACTACAGTAGTATTCTGCAGGGTATTTACTCCAGGTGTAACTGAAGTCTGATTTAAGAGTTGATTATATTTCACATCATTAATCCAGATCTGTAAACGATACTTGTGGGTTATCTGTCGCCACTTTTTAATAGCGGGTAGCTGGTTCCTCCATATTAACTTTTTAATTTCTCAAAATAACAAACATTAATCCTATTTGCGGCGATGGGTTATGGTTAGGGTTATTTAGAGAGTCTGAAAAAAACAAGAAAAGTGCGTATTTAGAGAGTCTGAAAAAAACAAAAAAAGTGGCGACAGATTACCCACAAGTACCCTGTAAAGTAACTAAAGGTATTAAATCCATGTAGTGGAGTAAAACTACACCATTTACATCTGTATTGTAGTGGGGTAGAAGTACAATGTAGCAAAACTGTGAAATACTCAAATAAAGTACAAGTACCTCAAAATTATAGTTGATTTAACTTGAGTACTTGAGTAGATTTACTTTACACCTCTGTCAATAAAATATGTTGTGAAAAAAGAGTCCTTACTGAGTTGGTCCCCCATGTGTGGATGTTTTGTGGTGAATATCGTTCCAGGTGACGATGTTGTTCCGTCCGCTGGTGGTGGAGCGGCCCACCGTGAAGATGAGTTTCTGACGGAAGGCCCTCGTCAGCAGCTTCAGGACCCCCCTGCCCTCTGAGGAGTCTGGGAGGTAGGCCGTCCGGGACGCCCCCTCGTACGGCTGCCCGGGGTGGGGGTGCTCCTCCTGCACATACACAGAAACACAGCTCAGGTCTCCTGCTCAGCCAGGTGGTGAGAACCATAGGTGTATTATCATTATGGTAGATATTTATGTTTGGTGAGACAGTTGCATATTCTTTGAGGTATAATTAAACCGTTTTTATCTCTGTTTGTTTCTGGACTGCGCAAGGTTTATTTTTATTATTATTTACGACCGAGTTTCATGCAGTAAAGCAGACTCTAGTGCGCAGGTCTAAGAGCTTAAAATTACGCTTCACCAGTCTGACATGGGGGAAGACTACAAGGTGGTTGAGAAAGCTTCTGACCGCAGGCATCCGCACGCCTGATGGTGTTTATTTATCTAAACTTAACACACGTAAGGCAATTTGTGTTTGGTAGATGATTTCTATGTTGTAATAGGGCTGCAACAAACGACTAATTTGATAATCAATTAATCTATCGATTTATGAAACGATTAATCGACTATTCGGATTATGCCTTGCACAATTTCTCAAATGCTCTTATTTAGCCATCAACTTTTAGATTTAGCTTGAGGTTGTTTTTAGGCATGTGGAAACTAACAATGAAGACAATAAAGATGAATACTTGATTCAAAAATACATATTTTATTAAACTTTCTGCTGAAAGATAAATAAAAAATCTGTCCGTCAACATTTGAATCCAAGGATAGCAGATCAGATCAGATCAGATAAAAGATAACATTTTTTGCATTGTCAAGTAGGGATGGGTATCGTTAAGGTTTTAACGGTACTACTACTTTTATCGATCCAGTCCTTTAACGGTACTCTTATCGGTTCTTTTGAAAAAAAACAAGGTAAATGAACTAAACAAATTGTGAACAAAATTAACATTGCTTTTTATTTCAATTAAATAAATAATATTTCACATCAAAAGAAACAACAATGTTTTAACAAATGGTATTAAATAATCTGATGACAGAAATGTAAACAGAATAGCTGAAACTTTAACAAAATAAATAACTCAGTTACCTCTAATCATTAGCCCATGTTTGTATAATTGAGTTAACTCTGTGTGTTGCTGCTAGCATACATAATACACCTGACGTGGAAACGTTATTCGTGGATGGGGCTACAGAGCTACTAGAAAGACAGTCAAAAACGGTGCATTTCTCCGTCTGAATGTGGTGCACTTTTGCAAAATGTTTAGACAAATTGCTCATGTTACCGCCCTTACATGCTTAACTCTTATTGCACTTTTGGCAACGAGCATTGTCCACCTCAAGACGGGTAACATTTAACCACACATTGGAGCACTTGTGTGTGTTGCATGCATGTAGTAGCCGCGTGTGTGTAAACTGCCCCGCCCCCTCGCACACAGACGGGGGAGAGAGATCTCTCGTCTGGATTGGAAAGATCGAAAATACATCATAGACGCATTTTGGTTTTATTGCATATTAGAAACGGAGTTGGCGACACTAAGACTGCGATATCATGTTTATGTAGCAATAATACATATGACATATGTTTTAAATGTCTCCAGTACCGATAAAAAGACCGATAACGTTGGAGCTTAACGGCACGTAAAACACACGTGATGACGTCACCAACGAATCGACGACTGAATTAGTTGGCAACTAACTAAACTAAAAATCGTTTTTTGGCTGTTTAGATGGTGTTGCTCCATCTGGGTCACTGCCGGTGGTTGAGACGGTGGGGTCTTTGGCGACTAGTTTTATAGCCCCATGTACATTAGTTAGGTGCTTCAGGAGATTGGCATTGCTGTTATTCGATGTGGACAATGCTTTCTGTCCTGCACACAGTTTACATTTGACCGTAATATTTTTTGCGTCCTTTATCCCCACAAATTGAAAATAGTGGTTATATCTCCAAGTTGTAAATGCACTGCTGCTCTCGCTGATACTTGCATCTGCCATTGTGTGTGTGTGTGCTGGTGGTGGGCGTTGCCGTGTATGTGTGTGTGTTAGCAAGTGTTTGTGTGTCTGTGGGTATTTCTCAATCGCGAGTAAAGCTGCTTCAGAGCCACTATTTCAAGCATACTACGTCATCGAGTGCCGCCGAAGTACTGTTCCAATCTCCAGCATACTTGGAAATCTACCGAGCCCGGCGTACTCCATTTGGTGAAATATCGAGGCTGCACATGAGTAGACTCCGCGGTCTTAAAATCCCCACAATGCTTTGCGCACGGACCAATTTCCCCAAATCTGTGGCGGAAGATGTAAGGCGGGGCCTCTCATATGACGCACACCTGCACACTTGCTAGCGTGTTCCACTCTTCGTTTTCCGAATGCCAGGAAGTATTCTTGACTCGCTTCTGAAGCAAGATGCTCGGCAGGCATGTGCAACCAAGCAAGCGTACTCGCGATTGAGAAACACCCTGTGTATTTTCTCCATAAGACAAGACCCGCCCAACTCTGTCTCTGATTGGCTTACCCTGAAATGTTACCCAGCGTTAACCAATCATCACTCCTCTCTGGTCACTTTCACTTTTCCATGGTACTGTGAGAGGACATCACTGTATTCGCCTGTAAATTACATCCGCACGGAGATTCGGTTCAGTTGGACCACATAATGTAACGCAGTAACGCACCCATTTAAATCACTGTAACTATAACGGCGTTACTGAATGGGAATAGGTAACTAGTAACGTTATTAGTTACCGCAAAAGGTAGTTGCGTTACAGTAACGCGTTAGTTTGTAACGCGTTAGTCCCAACACTGCCCGCGACTGTTACAATAAAGGCTCGATAATCAGCTCACGGCATATAGGTGTAAGCAGGGGTAAAGTGCTATATTTATAGGTGGTGGTGTGTGGACCTCACATAGGGGGGTCCGGGGGCAAGCTCCCCCGGGAAGATTTATTTTTAAATATTTAAGTTAAAAGCATCAATCTGGTGCACTTTGAGAGCAAAATGAAGAGATCAATGGATACCTCTCTCAACACCCATATGAAACAGAACTGTAAACAGATTTACTTTTTCTTGATGGATATTTTACAAATCACCCTTTTAAACTTTATTCTTTTTTTACTGTCATATAGTATTTCATACCTGTTTTTCATTTATTCTCTTCTTTTTTTATAACTATAATTTTCATATAAACGTGTGCCTCGGAAATAATTGTTTACATTAATGGTGACCAAAACGTTTAAGACCCACTGAGATAACACTGAGAGAGTCCTTTAGTCCTTTCAGGGGTTCCCAACCTTTATTGTGCCAAGGACCGGTAGATACATTAAAAAAAAATCGCGGACCGGTTGTCAATTTTAACTGATTTTAATATTTACTCACCACCAGCAGGTAGCAACAGAGGCTAATTGTATGTAACAGCCTGAACAAATACTAGAACAATATGCATCCAAAACATATTAACAAAGTTTAAAAAAGAACTGTTGTTGTTTTTTGGTTTTTCGGAAAACCAAAAAACCGACGTTATTCAGTTTTTAAACCAAAACGGGAAAACAGATGAATCAATGTTTTGGTTTTGTTTGTATGATTTACGGATAATCCAGTGAATGCTGGAGAGGAGAAGGCGCATTATGAAGGAGATGTCCGGTCGCCAGGGTGTGTGTGTGTGTGTGTGTGTGTGTAGGTGTGTAGGTGTGTGTGTGTGTGTGTGTGTGTGTGTGTGTGTGTGACACTGGCATTTGTTTTCAGAAGATATTATGATAGTGTCGTTCGTTCCGGTGCACTCCGACAGCATTTAGCACTACATCGAGATTAAGATTAAACTAATTTATTTTGGGAACAGCCGCATATATGCCGGTGTCGGACAGACACAAACACACCGAACACACAGAGCTGAGCTGAGCAGAGCACATACACACACACATCATGCGCCTTGGTGACTGACTGGACATCTCCTTCATAAAACTAATAAAAGGGGGAGTAATCGGGCAGTTCGATGTGTGTAGATGTGTGTGTGGTTAACACGTAGCAGCCTGCAGTCACTCTTAAGCTGTTCTGATTAAGTTAAACACAGCGAAGGCGGTGCGTAAAAGGCACAGCTCTTTACCGAGTATACGTCCCGCTGCCTCCTGATGCTGCAGCCATTTTATGAAGTGAAGGAGGGTTTCCTTCTATAAAACAGCTGCGGGCAGCAGATACCGTGAGAGTCCCGGACATTAATTCATAGATCGAGGCAGACTGGTTTACTCTCCTGTTTTGCCAATCCGGTGCTTAAACAAATAGCTCTACACCCCTGGCCGACATGTCCTTAAAATGAAGTCCGAGTTTGAAATATATCTCAAATAATGTATGCACCACCATTTCCCCACATAAACATAACAGTCTGCAATCAAACGGTTGTCTCCTGTGCGCTCCTCTTCCTACTTGGCGCACCGGTAACATGCTCGTGCGCACAAGAGGCTGAGACCTTAGGCTGGGCCGCCGAATCCCTCGGAACATCATAAAAGCCATTTTCAACGGTTTTCTGGTGAAAGATTAACTAGCTACTGGATGAAATAATATGACTGGTGGCATAGGTGCGAAAATTAAATACTTTTTGAAAAAAATATTATGATAAAATATTTTTATATATTTATAATTCTGCAAATATTACGATAAACTCACAGCTATTTCGCGGCCCGGCAGTAACACCTCCGCGGCCCGGTTGGGAACCCCTGCTTTAGCTCACTAAGTCTCTCAGTCTGACAAAACTCCTTATATCCGTTAGCGTAGCTCGCTAGCACCAGAAGCTAACAACAACGATCTCCAGTACCGGTGCGCTCTCTCTCTCTCGCTCGCGCACGCACACAAAATGGCTCATTCCACACACACACAGAGCCAAGCTTTAATGAAACACAGCAACCCAGACGTAATAGTACCGTACTGTATCATATTATTTTCAAATCAATAATTTTTCAAATTATGATCTTTTATTTTTTTTTATTTATTTATTTTTTTTTAATAACCATTTTTCCTCCTGGTCTCTCGCGCCCCCCCTGTCATGCCTCTGCGCCCCCCAGGGGGGGCTTGCCCCCCACTTTGGGAACCACTAACCTAGTGCAATACAAAAGTAAATAACCCAATTTGTGTTCTGTGAAACTGAAAAGGATATTCCATTGTTTTTGTTACTTTCGTTGCAGTTGTATATGTCTTAAATGTAATTTAGGTTAACTTCCTGTGTTATTTAGATGCTTTTATTTTGAAGGCGAGTTTACGTTGTTGACAGGAAGTTGTTGTTGCTATGGAAACAACGTGACGGAGAAAAGGAGTGGAGATTAATCTACATATAAAGACGGAGAAAGTAAAGGATAAAGTTTATGTTTAAGTTTAGCACCCCCCCGAAGAGGCACAAGGTTGGTATTAGATATAATATAAAAATGTGGGTTTTGTCCTAATTCTAAGCTGTTATGTAGCTTTGCTGTTAACTTTTGGTAGTATGCTAAAGTGATTCTAATACGGATGGAGCCTAAATGTATTTGTTATTTTTGTGTCTTTATAGCTCTTACGTTGATATTGGAGATTTCAATAAATTCATATCATCAGTCAAGTCTTCGACCATTATTCGGAGGGAAATGCTACAACGATGCTTGGCAATGTGCATTATTATTATATATTATTATTATAGGTCAGGCCTACCTTAAAGTCATTTTTCCCCCTGGAAAAAGCTAGCCCACCCTATTTTATACAGGCCCGCCCTAAATTAAATTTCTGCCTACGCTACTGGTATATACCCTGTATTTTATTTACGGCTTTGATTATAATAACATAATGTTGGAAATAGGTTCAAAATAATAAAGGTCAAAGGAAGAAAATAGTGTTATATTGCTGGATAAGCATGAATATGCATTCCAAGTCTTTATTATTTTGGATGTAGATTTTGACATAAATTATAACTATCACAAAAAACAAATGAAACTTCCATTGTTAAAAGTGATCTAGCAAAGAGACTTTGCAAACATTAATCATAAATGCTTCAAATATTGTTAGGAATTAAGATAAAGAAAATATATATTAGGGAATTATGTTATTTTTCATTTTTATATATTTTTTTAATACCTCAATTATGTCTCAAGTCAATTTGAACCAAACAGTACCAACAGGTGCAAAATGTGAATTTAATACGAGGGTTCAGACAGGGTGTTTCTCAATCACGAGTAAAGCTGCTGCAGAGCCACTATTTCAAGCATACTACGTCATCGAGTGCCGCCGAAGTACTGTTCCAATCTCCAGCATACTTGGAAATCTACCGAGCCCGGCGTACTCCGTTTGGAGAAATATCGAGGCTGCACATGAGTAGACTCCGCGGTCTTAAAATCCCCACAATGCTTTGCGCACGGACCAATTTCCCCAAATGTTGTTTGTGTTTCTTAAGTGATTCCGAAATGGACCTGCACTGCATTTTGTTGTGCAATCCTGTGCGGTACAATGGAAGCAACATGGCTAAAGTAAAACAAAAGTTTTGAATCTGTTGTCTTACCTTTTGGATGCCACTTGGAATGTAATAATTGATAGTTATTGCTCCATATTTCTCGTAACCAGGCAAAGACGAAGAGCTTTTGGTGACATCCATGCTGCCTCCATCCGGCTGTGTCCCGGTCAAAGTGCCGTACAACGCTCCACACATCGGGCAGATAGGCTTGTAGTCAAAAGCTCTCTTCAGACAGTCTCTGCAGAACGAGTGTTTGCAGCCCAGAGTCTTTTTCTCTGTGTTTTCTATCGCTTCCATACAGATTGGACATGCTTCTACTTCAGGGTCCTTGCTGAGTGTAGATGAAGGACCTGGGGTTCTGCTGCTTGGAGTGTCTGCCGGACCTTTGTTCCCTGGACTCTTGCTCGGGCTTGGTGTTTTTTGTGAAAGGAACTCTTTCAACTGAGCAATGTGCAGAAAAGGCCCGGTCACTGTTACTTCAGATCTGCTGGGGCTTGTTGTTGTGGGTTCAAAAAGCAGACGTGGAAATGTTCTCTGCAGGTCTCTGAGGTGCTGCGGACTCACAGAGACAGATGTGACCTGCAGGTCGGAGGCCGTCCTCTGGTAGAACGTGATGAACCTCTGCCGGACAAAGTCTGCATGAACAGGTTCTGAGGATCCCTGGTGTGATCTGAAGGTCACCTGTTCTGTGCTGCTGGCTTTATCGTGCAATGGTACAATGTGAAAATGATTCCCTTCAATTTTCTTAAGCTCTCTATCACTTTTTTCCTTAATGTAGGCCATGACTACCCCGGATACATCCACAGGTTTGATCTGCCCCCTTGTGACGGGAGAGGTTGGGCGCATCACTTCTGACAGTTTTTCCATAAGTTGGTCCACCTCCTTGAAGGTTCCTCTCACGATGTAGCCGTGAGCTTTCTTCTCAGGCTTGTAAGGTTGAAGAATCTTCTTTATTCTTCCGGGATCTTTGCAATAAGTTACATCAATCTGGACAGTGAGGTCTGTGATGATCTGCTACAAAATACAACAGCTGAAGTTAGGCATGATAGCAATGTTTGTTTTTTGCTGTGATTTATTCCAGGGAAGATATTTATTATTAAAGACATTTGCACTGACTTTCAGCCCTTCATCACATTAACTTAGAATGTGCAAAAATTCCTAAAAATAATTCATTTTATCTGTGCAGGAGCTGCATCTCCATCTTTTGTTTAGTTCATACAGGACTCCTTATAAGATCCAGATAATTGGAAACTGTTTCCGACATGATTAGAGTTACTAACATTTATCGCTGCTGTGGCTAGGGTTTTTGAATCTGTTAACAACTGAAAAATAATTTCATTATACCGATAAATATAATAAAACCATTTATTGAAAGCAATTATCAGCTGCAGTACCTCCACTGGCTCCATGAATCAAAACCTCTAACGTGGAAAAAGTTCATACAACTGAGTAGCCTCTGATAGCAGATCTAACTGTTATTTATTTATTAATGACAGCCCATTTTATTCAGACAGCCATTCTCAAAGATTCTTTACATAACACATCATTTGGGAGGTGGAAGAAGATCTTGTAAAAGTAGAAATTCCAAAGTGTAGGAATACTCTGTTACTCAAGTGAAAGTAGAAAAGTATTAGCATCTTAGCAATAGGCTATACTCAAAGTACCAAAAGTAAAAGTACTCATTACGCAAATTCTGGTGGAGTAGTCCTACTACAAGGTAAACTGGAAATACTCAAGTAGAGTACAAGTACCTCAAAATACAGTAATTTGAGTAAATACTTAGTTACTTTACACCACTGCTTAATTTGACCACATGATTGCCAACATAAACAGGGAGGGTTTGAATAATAACTGCTGCTATTATTTGAATTGAAGAGCTTTTATACTGAAGGTGTGAAACCGGAAACCCCTTTCATAGTTTCCTGGCTAACTTGGAGCCCTATCTTAAAGGTAGGGTAGGTAAGAATGGAGAAACCAGCTCGAGTGCGCTAGAATTTGAAAGTACGCAACCGAAAAAAATCTGCCCCTTACTTCAGACTTCCTTACAGAGCCCCTCCTCCAACACACACGAACGCGCACATGACCAATGATGGGACGAGATAAGTTTGTGCACGAGATGGAAGGCTGACAGGCAGGGAGGCCATCCAGTTATTTTAGCCGGGCCGGCTAAAATAATTGGTCGTGCTTTTTACATCGCCACGGCTTATGGCGATATTTATGTATTTATTGTCAAAGCATTTAATGTATTCGAGTGATTCTACAATTTAGGGTACATTCCATGTCCATTGATGTCCATTGATGATAATTATAATTATTCTAACTATTTTCTTCAAACATATCATATTTTGCCTATTATTGGAAAGCATGTTATAATATCACACAAACATTATGTGCATCCTATGCTTCATTTAGCTTAAAATGTGTCATGATGTTCTTAAATTGTCAGTTTTTGCTATGTCCGTTTTTCAGTTGAGGGTGTCTTGGTTTCAAAATAATGAATAAAAACCATTAAAGTAAATAAAAACTATTATTCATTTATTTCAAAAGTCTAAATACTAAAGAATAATAATATTTTTTAAATTGATTTCCTCCTTTAAATAATTGAAAGGGGACCTATCATGCAAAATGCACTTTTGTATGTCTTTTATACATGAATATGTGTCCCCGGTGTTCCAGGGAACTCACCAAGTGTCAGAAAACACAACCCTCTCTATTTCCCTCCATACCCAAATCTCTAAAAAAGGGGCTGCAACGGATCTGATAAAAACTGATCCAGATTTGAACACTGTCCTGACGTCAGGACGGTGGCGCTACGGCTATTGGGCCAACTCTCCACCTATCAGGGGAATGTGGGGTTGGGCCACGGCCGGCCATGCCGCTCGAAAGCGCTGGAGACGCTGTAGTACATATGCCAGGCCTGTAAGTGGCGCTGTAGTCTGCCACAAAAGCAGCGAAGAAGACTTCCCGCGCATGGTTGCCATGGTTCCCCTTCTGTTTATTCTCCGCTGTGGCTTTTTTTTCTCCCTCCCCGAGGCAAGCGTTTGCTCCCGCTGCTGTAATTCAATGCAATCCCTCCCTGTCGAGGCAAGCACTGTAATTCTCTCCGGTTAGTCCACCAGCAGATGACAAACACCCACCTCTCCGCCTCTTCCAAGGAACGAGGGGACCGTGCGGCAGAGTTTCAGTTAGGTTTTCTTTCGCCGGTCAATATGTCCGTTAAAGTTTAAATCTTCCGGACAAAATTTGAAAAGTGCCGGTCAAAGGTCTTCTTTGTTATTTATTGAGCTTTAAAACAAATGAATAACGACTCTATATAATAATATAATAAAACACGGAGGACGGAGATCTATTTTTCTCCCCCTCTTCTGACTTGATCAGAGCACGCTCCCCTCTCCTGCAGGGGGGCGTGGTCAGCTGCAGCTCACAGAATCAGCCCCCTGCAAAAACAGGGCTGGAGAACAGCAAATAGAGCGAAATGAGGCATGGCTAAAATGCATGATCTGTTTGGTATTTTGAAAACAGAAACGTATAAATATATCTTATATAGGTATGGCCCTACAATATATCATTTAAATATAGCATGATAGGTGTCCTTTAAATATCTTAATATATGAATAGCCGCGTTCACACCAAGTACTTTGCCGTACTCAGTGCCGGCACTCAGTGCCCCGGCACTTATTACCCCAGGGCACTTAGTACAGATCGCGTTCACACCGGAATAAATTCCCTGAGGGAAGATTACGCAAATGAGCCGCTGACGTCACTTCGTCTTCTTCTGCTTTGGGTTTACTGGCAGGCCGCAAACAACTTCACGTTGTATACTGCCACCCGGAGTCCCCGGCCGGAAGTCCCCGGAGTTGGGGACTGGCTTCAGTAGAAGCCTTCCGAGTAAATCGCCAGAACGCCGACACCTCCTCATCTCCACCGCTCCCATGTTTTATTTTGTGTTGCCATAAGTTAGTCTCTCTGCGTTTGTGCGCGGGGCGAATGCTAATGCTAATAATGCTAATGCGAGGATAATAAAATGGCAGCTCTACAAAACATTTCAGAGTTTTACGGGGCGTGGTTTGCAATTCGCCCAGCCAATCAGAACTGGGGCACTTTTTTCCCCCAGGAAAGTACCATCTCTCAACAGGCACTAAAAATGGGGGTAAAAGTTTCCGGGATTAAGTGCTCTTTTTGGTGTGAACGCGACATAAGGGGTACTAACGGAACTAAACGCGAAAGGTACGGTGAAAAGTACTCCGGTGTGAACGCGCCTAATGTCCGCAAAAGTTCTGTCAACTATGTTACTAACAGAACTCCCCCCTTTAACTCAAAAATGGTTTGTCCCAATACCATGTCACCAGCATCACATGATGCCATGTTCCTCTTTGGCAGACATTTTGAACACACTGTGGTGATTGTCCTCTAATTTTTTACAATATGTTATGTATAATAGCACATTGTCATTGAGTATATTAATTGACCATCAACAATGTTACGTACATTGTTATGGTTTACAATTGTTTAATGATTTTAATTCAATTATATGTTCAAATGGGATGTTAACCTGTTCAAGAAAATGACATGTGGTCATCCAGGCAAGGCCTACCATTGAAATGATGGGTCAAAATAGGGAAATTGTCAACTAGGTTGCCTGTCAACTAAGTTACCCAGTACTGTAATAACTATAGTAACTTAGTTGACAGGTAACCTAGTTGACAATTTGTATGACATGTAGACATCATTACACATCATTATCAATTGAATTTTGCACTTCTGCCTTGAAATGAACGGTTAATGGTTAATAATGTGTCCAGTCAACTATGTTATTTGCGTCAAATCTTTGACTTTCATTGTCAACTATGTTGCACCTCATTTAAAATATCTAAAATAGTGCTTCTGATATCCTTTATAGTATAATGTACATCTACACAGGTTGGAGTTTTATCAAAATGACCTGTATGGTAGTTTTATAATAAAAAATATCCCTATCCTTAATGACAGTGCACATGAAAAAACAAAACTTTAATACAATTATTTTTTAAACTTTAAAAAATCATTGTATATATGGTAGAATAGACTCAAGAGCCTTTCAAATTGGATTTTTACTTGAAGTGCAGGACTTAATCAAATGATTGTAATGACATCAAGTTTGTCCGTAACATAGTTGACAAACTGAGTAGTGAAAACATCCTTTCCCTTAAAATAAAAAAAAAAAAAAAAAATGTTTAAGCTTTGCAACTAGTGGATATGTTACACTGAGGAATATACTAACTTGAACCACTGATTGTTCTATTGAGAAAGAACACTTTTTTTGTACTGTTTAGTTGATGTGAAATGTTGGCCTACCCTAAATTATAGAATCAGTCAAAATTGCTATCGGGATGTTAAGAGCATTCCATGGAATATAACAAAAAGTGTTTCTGAAGTGAATTACCTACCCCACCTTTAAGTAGGAAATTAAATCTTTAAAACTAAAGCAGATTGCTTTTGCGACAGAAGCATAGTCTTAAAGAGCAACTTGCAGGTTTTTTTTTTTACTAGATTTATGCTTAACCTTGCCTGAAAATTACAATTAAAAAAGCTAATGCAGGATTTGATATGTTTTACGAGACATAAGAGCAGGAATTCAGAGGGGAAAGGAGCCGTTTTGAGCTTTTTTTTTTAACGTCATACGTCATATTACGTCACATGGAGGAGGGGAGGAACTTTCTCGGACTCATTCTCTGCCCAATCCGCGGTAGTAGTTTGTAGTTGGTTTGAGCGGTTGTGATTTAGTGAGCTGGTATTTTTTCGGTAATTTTACATTGCATTTCACAATTTTTAATCATGGTGAGCTGGAGTTTGTGTAGGTTGCACAAACTCGAGCCTGTCAGGACATCGAGTCCACAGTTTCCCTAAAAGGAAAAGGACCAGAGCTAGCTTTCGTTCCTGGGTGCGTTGTGCGAGGTGCATCCACATACGGCACATACACAGCTGAGGGCTATCAAACAAAACGTTTATCAGGAAACCGTATTACATCTCTCTCCCCCCCTTCGCTCCTCTCTCTCTCCCCTCCGGTACACAGCACCGTAACCTCTAGATTCCACCGGGTCCGTCTGCGCCGCGTTGCGGTTTTGGTCCGGCCTCCTCCGGCGTCATACCCTACCAGGCGCGTTTCAGAAGCATTTCAGAAGCGGAGCGTCTTGCCTGCCGGCTCGCAGTTTTTGTTGATTTGGGCATATTTCCTGGACAGGCTACTTTGTACAGACAAAGTTAATAATAACTGTAATATTCCAGTTATAAACGACATGAATCAAAGATGTGTTGCTGTATTTTAGTGGTAAAAAAATGCATTCATCATCATAATTATTCTATATATATAATTTACACAGTGCCTGTAAACCGGAGGAGAACGCTGGCATTTCTCCTCCTACTTGAAAGACTACGGAGGGATAGGGTCTGCAAAATTTGTTTGTGTGTGTGTATATATCTATATATATATGCGAAATATGCTCTGAAGGTTCCACTTCCTGCCTGCCCGACCTTACGTTACGGCTGCGCCGCGACAAAAATAGGATTCGATCCTAATTTTAGAGGAGCCCTGCACCGAGACGCTTCTGGGACGCTTCTGAGCCGTAACGCGCCGCGTGTGGTGGAATAGCACCCATTGACTAGAGTGGCCGCGATCGCCGTGAGCACCGCGGCGCAGCCGTAACGCGCCCGTAACGCGCCCGTAACGCACCGCAGACGGACCCGGTGGAATCTAGGGGTAAGACGTAGTGTGGAGTTGCATTAGGTAACGCGAGATACGGCTGATACTTGCGCATTACCCCTAGATTCCACCGGGTCCGTCTGCGCCGCGTTACGGCTGCGCCGCGGTTTTGGTCCGGCCTCCTCCGGCGTCATACCCTACCAGGCGCGTTTCAGAAGCATTTCAGAAGCGGAGAGTCTTGCCTGCCGGCTCGCAGTTTTTGTTGATTTGGGCATATTTCCTGGACAGGCTACTTTGTACAGACAAAGTTAATAATAACTGTAATATTCCAGTTATAAACGACATGAATCAAAGATGTGTTGCTGTATTTTAGTGGTAAAAAAAATGCATTCATCATCATAATTATTCTATATATATAATTTACACAGTGCCTGTAAACCGGAGGAGAACGCTGGCATTTCTCCTCCTACTTGAAAGACTACGGAGGGATAGGGTCTGCAAAATTAGTTTGTGTGTGTGTATATATATAGGTCTATATAGCTCTGAACGTTCCACTTCCTGCCTGCCCGACCTTACGTTACGGCTGCGCCGCGACAAAAATAGGATTCGATCCTAATTTTAGAAAAGCCCTGCGCCGAGCCGCTTCTGGGACGCGTCTGAGCCGTAACGCGCCGCGTGTGGTGGAATAGCACCCATTGACTAGAGTGGCCGCGATCACCTTGAGCACCGCGGCGCAGCCGTAACGCGTCCGTAACGCGCCGCAGACGGACCCGGTGGAATCTAGGGGTAAGTTTCTGTTATGGATCAGTATCAACAGTCCTGCCAGTAACGTTACTATATTATCAATACTACTTTAGTTATAGCCTGATATATGATAGCTAACTTTACAATGTTGTGATGTGACCGATGTTAGCTAACATGAACTGTAGCTAACGCCGGTCACTCACCAAGACAGCTGCCCAGTTCTCCACTGATTCTCCTCACACCACAGCTCCATTTCTCTCCGATGGCCGTTATTTCTTCTAATCCTTGGCTGCTCCTGGTCTCTTGGACGCCTAGCAGGCTCATAATTATATGGTTGTGGTCCGTCATATGCATTTGAATATACATTTTCAACCTCTTCTGTGTCAAAACTAGCATTGTGATCCATGTTTATTAATAAGTTAGACCGGCCGCTCTCACCCATGTGACGTCACGGGCGGGTGGTCTTTTTGTATGCGGAAGTAAAAATGTCTTACAAAAACGACGCCAGATGTCACTGTAGTGTATATTTATGTATATTTTTATGAAAATCTATACATCATTGTCCTACACATTTATTCACTGGTGTCTCTAACCTGCAAGTTGCTCTTTAAACTAAAGAAAATGAAGAGAGGCATTCGCCGCCATTTTCTTGGTATTTGTACAAAAAAACATAAAAACAACGACAAACACCGTGACTATCACTATGACTACCAGACGGTTGAAAACAAACCTTGTGTTCACCGACTATAAACGATTTCTGCTTTCATATTTCAGCCCCCTAACTGCTCAGCTGTGTGTAAATATATGTTTCCTTACCTCCATACCGAGCAGCACCGTGTCTCTGACCACAGACTGTCTGCTCTGAACACAGCACAGCAGCCCTGTGGCGCCCTCTGTCCTGCTTTCACTTTCGATCAGAGCGGGGAGAAATACTCACCTCTTGCAGTAAAAGTAGAAGTACCAGACTTTGTAACAAGTAAAAGTCCTGCATTCATGTCACTCAAGTAAAAGTAGAAAAGTATTGTCATCATTATGAAGATTGGCCAATTTCAGAATAATATGATATGTTTTGATATGTATTGATGCATTAAAGTCTTATCAAAGCTGGTAAAGGTGCAGCTAGTTTGAATGACTTTGTATACTGCAGGGTAGCTTGTGAATTGACTCCAGGTGTAACTAAAGTCTGATTTAAGAGTTGATTATATTTCACATCATTAATCCAAATCTGCAAAGTAACTAAAAGTATAAATAGGCTACATACAGTAGAGTAAAAGTACACAATTTACCTCTGAATTGTAGTGGAGTGCAAAGTAGCCTAAGTAGGCCTACAGTAAAGTACAAGTCTCTCAAAAATGGTACTTAACGTATAGCACTTGAGTAAATGTACTTTAGTTAGTTACCTGTCACCACTGATTATATTCCATTCCTGCCAATTAATCCCCCCTTAGTTTAATTTTTAATTTCATGTTTATTTTATACCTCGGGACTGTGGGAAACAGTATTTCGATCTTTCTGTGTGTACACATATATTTTGAGATTGACAATAAAGTTGACTTTGAAGTTAGTCCTTCTTGCTGGTCCTATAACTCTAAAGTTTATGTTTCCGAGCAGCACTTGAAGGCAGCACCCTGGCTCATATTGCAGTGCTATTGTTTGTCCGGTAGGTGTCAGTGCAGCTCTATGCACAGTGACGCTACCGGCACCACGTGACCGTCCCGGCTCACAGCAGCGCGCCTCTGTCCGTCACACAGCCTCCCTCCAGTCATTCTGAGAATCTGATCCCGACTGGTAGGGTGAGCAGGAGCCGCCGGAGGCTCTTCATCAGCGGACAGACTGCAGACTGTCTCCCGCTCTCACACAGTATGTACGGAGGACGGCTTCTCATTGATGGATCCAGGCTCAGAGTTACAGAAATGTTGTAATTTCTCTCTCTCTTGCTAAACTGCTGTTGTGTTTGATATGGAAGAGCCAGCCCCTTTTTAACAGTTTGTTGGCTATTTGTAGTACTATTTCTTTTTTTGTTTTACAGTAAATTATTATGTTTAAAGGTAGGGTAGGTAAGAATGGAGAAACCAGCGTAAACTAGAATTTGAAAGTACACAACCAAAAACAATCTGCCTCTTCCTTTAGACTTCCTTACAGAGCCCCTCCTCCAACACACACGAACGCACATGACCAATGAGGGCACGAGTTTGTGCACGACATGGAAGGCTGACAGGCAGGTAGGCCATCCAATTATCTGCCGCGGGCCGGGGCACATTATTGGTCTTGCTTTTTACAGCGCCACGGCTTCCACAGATGAAATATTTGTATATATTTATTGTCAAAGCATTTAATTTATTCATTGCTATCGGGATGTTAAGAGCATTCCATGGAATATAACAAAACGTGTTTCTGAAGTGAATTACCTACCCTTAAGGGATGACATTTGTTGGTGTTATTGTGGCATTTTAGCAACGTGTCTTTAAAAATTGTAAAGACTAAAATAAAAGGTTTTGCAATCTGTAAAATCCAGAATTAACCATACCATTAAATAAATGATTGTGTAAAAAAATTCGCACCCTATTTTTCAGCTTTTTTTCTTTTTCGCAATGTTGACGGTATAATTGAGTGTAGGCCTATATTTGAACACAGCCTTCAGATATTGTGAGAGAGGAAAGTAGGCTATGACCCGAATACATGGCCCCGTGTATCAACCTGTTTCCGGCCGCAGGCTTTAGATAAGTGAGCTGGAACAGCAGTGAAAGTGTCACGCGGGTCGGATGGACGAGGTTTAGACATCTGTCAAATTCAGCCAATAGAATACACATTAGTAATATTGAAAAAGGCGCTGGGCGGGCAGCGGAGATTAAGTCCACTTTCTAATCTGATCACAAGTCAGATGGAAGCTCAGCCGCGGCTGCAAAGCGCCATGGATAGCACCAAACAGATCAGAGGAGCGGCGTTACACACTCAGCATTACAGGAGAACAAGGACAGCATTTTATTTTATTTTGTGCAATTTGAAATATTGAAAGTGCTGATTGTGTGCAGTGATCGGCTCTGTTAGCTGCGCATTGAACGCCACACATCTCCCGCTCTGTGTTGTGTTCAGGTCAGTTGAAGATCACAACTCAGAGTATTCTGTCAGCTTTGTGAAACCCGAATTTTGAAAAAAAATCACTTGGTTTTTCTGGAATTTCTCTTGTTTATTTGGTCTAATGCTGCATATGTTAGTGTTCAACCTTTGGAGAGGCCTTATTTTGTATGACAAATACTTTTTATTTTAAGGTTTTAATGGTTTTGCACATTTTAATAATACACAAACATAACAGATAACACATGACAAAACGAGCAGGAAGAGGCTTATTTAAAGCATCTACCTGAATAATGTTTAAAATCACAATTTTATATAAAACACAAGATCAATAAACCAACAATTGCTTAAATTCAATAAAAATGGCAAACTTTAAGAACAACATATATTGTACGATAGTACTTAACATTTTAACAAAATAAAACCAGGCATACAGTGTTCAAATGATTTTTAAAGTTTTTTTCTAAAGCAATGCAGCATTTTTAAATGTCGCTTATAGCTAAAGTTAAAGGTCCCATGACATGCTTCTCCGGTTATTACCTGTCCCCTTGTGTGTTATGTAGCTTTTTATGCATGTAAACGGTCTGCAGAGTCACACACCCTCAAAGGACACCCTGTAGCGAGTAAAACTCTAACACAGAAAAGACCTGTCTATGCTGCCCCAGAACGCCTCGTTGGAGATTTCTCTTTTTCCATTTTTTTCATCCTGGTCTCAGTGACGTAACGACGACCAAATGGACCAATCCGTGGAGCTCCTCACACACACACACTCACTCAGCCTTATCTTTTCTCAGGCTGTGAGTGTGTGGCAAACAGCCTGGCTGTGAGTGTATGTGTGTGCTCAGGCTGAGTTCCGCGATATCTCGCTGTCTCGCAGACCCCACGCAGCAACCAGGAAACGACACCAGTAACCCAGCTCACACTGTCCGCTCCTCGAGCCTCAAATGGCGGAGCAGCGAGCCCCGCAACGTCCCGCCAACACGCAGCATTCTCACCTGTTTGTCATTACTGGTGTCATTTTCTGGTTGCTAACGCTATTGTAACACATAATCACTGATGTTCCGCTGTAACGGTGGTGGACTCATCAGAACAGAGTGGGCGAGCTGACCAATCAGAGCACACTGGGCTCACAGGGGGGGGGGGGCAGGAGCTCCAACAAGCCGTTTAGGACAGAGAGTGAATACACAACTATACAGAGATGCTGTATGCGAAACCAATGTGAGTTTGGAAAATTGCACAGTATAAATCTATTCTAGTATACCTCAACAATGGAACTATGATCAGTAGAAATGGCCATGACATGGGACCTTTAAGTCAAACTTAACTTGGTTTGTCAGTGTTTGATGTACTTGATTTGTTATTTGGTCATTTTCTTTAAACACAAAATTGTTGGACTACCCAGCCAAACTTGATTTCAACTTTGACCTAAGGATTAGATTCATAGCCAGATGTCAATCATCAGACATAATGCGCCCATAATAAATGTAGGTTTAAATAGAATAAAGCCTTTTCTGTGTTGTCCCTGCTCAGCTCCAAATGACGTAAACAATTATTAATTGATTAATTTCTGTTTCCATCTCCTCAATAGACCTTCGGCTTATGCTGAGTGGAATTTAATTTAAACCTATTTAACTCAAAACACCCCTGTATATCATCCCATCAAAAAATCAACAATTATTTTCTGTTATTTCTCTGTGCCTTTATTGTTTTGTCGGCTAACTTGATATCGTTGGGGTTTCTTTTGTATTATTATTAGACCTTCTCCATTATTGATAAGGTCTCTCTCTCTCTCTCTCTCTCTCTCTCTCTCTCTCTCTCTCTCTCTCTCTCTCTCTCTCTCTCTCTCCTCTCTCTCTCTCTCTCTCTCTCTCTCTCTCTCTCTCTCCTCTCCTCTCTCTCTCTCTCTCTCTCACACACACACAAACGCACATGTAAAAAATCACATACAACTAAACAAATTAATCTGATTATTTGGTAGCTTATTATAAAAATGACTCGTCAACTCTCCTTTTCCTTTGGTGCGGTTTTGGCATTAAGGAAATACTACAATATAAATAATTGTTTGCTTTTAGATGTAATAGTCACACAGACAGTATCACTGCTCTCCACTGATGTCAAAAGTGAGGTATAAATATATATGATCCAGTTATTCTCAAAATCATTCGATTAGTCTGATGTACAGGATTAATTTACATTAATGCACACAATATCTTGTTCATTTTAATACTGTCAGTCCTGCACAACCCTCCAGATTTTGCACATTGTACACAAAGCATTTGTGGATCATTTGTTTTGTTTTATGTATGTGTTGTGTGTGTGAGGACCCCAGGAAGAATAGCCAATGCTCATGCTAGTGCTAATGGGGATCCTAATAAAGAATAAGAAAGCTACGTCCTGGCTTTTTACTTGTCATACCAATACTGCACATATTTGTTTATTTTTTCTATTTTATTTGTAAGGGTATATCTATATTTCATCTGTATTCCATGTAAATATCTATCTATTTTAATGTTATTAGTTTTCTAAAAATATTTGTTATCATTGTTTTATTTGATGGTATTTTCCTTACAATTGTTCTTCTTGAACTGTGTTATGTATGCACCAAATACACAAAGACAGATTGTGTGTAAACCTACTTGACAATAAACCTGTTTCTGACTCTGACTCTGAAGATGTTTGTCCTCCCATAAAGAAACATGTCTTCAACCTATAGGAACAAGTATGAACTGTTCAGTGGTCAGGGAGGACACATAATTGAAAGCGAATTCTAAGCTTGATGAATTGTTATCATTACATTATGGAAATGACAAGACAGAGCCAA